TTTCGAGAAAGCCGTTATATAAAATTCGCCCTATAAAATCCACAAATCTGCACATGCGAGCAGCGTAAGAAAAACTAAAACCCTGGTTGTCATCTACTTCTACAAAATGGAATGCTGTCCGGATCCAGACCGCCAAAAATTCCCTAAAACCCAGATTTTTTCTCAAAAAACTCATTTAGTGACAGTTAGTCTGCTTGAAATCTTACAGCCTGAAGGGCGCTGGATACCAACAAATCCTGGCCGCTGAAATTCCCTAGCAGAATTCGTTTATTGCCGTATAAACAAACGTAAATATCGTTTGGCAAAAATAATTTGTTAGGATGTGAAATTTGGCCAAAACAGGCCAATATCTAAATAAGTAGTCCAGGATCAGTTGCTGCCTTTTAGGGCGTTATCCGCTAAACCATCACAAAGCAATAAACAAGTTCCACCTACCTGTAGGCATTTTGGTCTGGATTCTGCACTATTTTAACATTTGAATGCAGCCAGGATTACCTGCCATTACAACAAAAAGTATATATATACATATCAAAAGAGTTTTCTGTAGAGATCATAATTCATATATAAGTTTAAATCATTTTTACTAAAAAAAATTCGGAAAATGCCAAAACTCAATCCAGAATCCAGAACATAAAATACAAGTCAACAATATGGGACTGAAAAATCTACATCTACATGGCAACCAAGGACAAAGTAATGCCAAATTTACTGAAAGCTGCATCATGCCACCTGGAAAGAAAAAAAGACATTCTTTAGTATTCCAGAAACTGAGCCTAAAGTTTAATTATTTGAAAGCAACAGAGGAAATAACGAGAAATAAAAACGCCTTCATCTCAGTTGCTTCTCGAAAAACTAAACTCAGTTTAACGGGTTTAAAAATTCGAACTTATCCTTACCAGCTTTCTGCAAAGTGGCGCCCCATCCTCCATTTTTTTCGCAACTTATTCTCAAAAAATTCGCACTACACTTGAACGAACAATAAAGTTTTGCTCCGAATTGAAAACTCTAATATTTCAGTTAGCAGATAACCCGATTATTGGCACCAAATCGTCCTGTATATGTCATCTATGAACAAAGGACTGACGACGTATTTTCTTCACTTCCCGTACCAAACTGAGTCCAAAAAGTTACCTTCTCCATAAAAAAAACTCTAGTTTGGCTGGTCGCCGTGACCAAAGCAGGTTTTCCAGCCAAATATGAACATTCCAGTCATGGAGTCGAATAGACTTTCTCATGCTAAATTGCTCTCGGACTTTTGTTCGATTTTTATGAAATTTTGAGTCTTTTCAGATGGATGTACTGTGTAGATCCATAGTTAGAGCCACATTCAATGCTCCTACGCAATACGGGATTTTTTCACACGAGTGGATGCAGATGCAAATGTTGGCTGATTTTGAAATCTTACAGCTTCTGGTAGAAAATGCGAACGTTGATTGAATTAAACGCTTGAGACATTTTCTGAAATTGCATCCAATGATTTCGTTCCTTTGGTTTGTTATCGGTTGGAACTGGCGTTTTCTTGGGGATTTGTTAGCGAAAGTCGCCCGATGGCCGACCAGCCAGTGGAGCAAAACACGTAATGAAATCATTGTTATTGCCAATTTTATTACCTCGATGGGCTGTTTTTATGTCGCCCGAATGCAAATTTTCGATGTAAGTATTGTGATTTGAGGTCATGGGGTTCGCGATTGCGATACGCGACTTCAATTTTTACGATCATTTATTTCGGGCGACTTGAGTAATCCTGCAAACGGGTGGTCCAAACTTGCCAGATTCAAACTTTTATTATCATTTTCAAGTTTGTTTTATTCCAATCTATAGAGGATTGAACATTGTTTTCGCTCTATGCATAATGGAAATGTGGATATAATTGATGTTTTTTCGGACTTTTGCGGCATTTTTGAATAGCAGTTTGGCTTTGTTGGGGGCATTTTTGGCAGCAAAATAATCTGCTGCAAGATTTGGATTTTTTTCTCTACAGAGGTTACTTCGTTCTATGCCTGATGAAAATTTGGATTTTATAGAGTTTTTGTAGGTTTTTTGCGGAGTTTTACAGAACTTGCTTTAAAAAACGACGATTTTTTTTGAGTAGAAAGAGCAAATATGGTTCTACAAAAGTTTTAAAACTTTGAAAAAAACTTTTGACAATTTTTGAAACTTATCGCAAGCGAAAAAAGCTTTTCAAGGGGGCGCAATTGTTTGTTTTCAAGTTCTGCCGAATATGTCAGTAAAAAATGCGTCAATAAATCCAGAATTCTTCTCTGAGCTTCATAATTTTACCGTTTTTAATGCCAAATTTTCTCTGCCGGCTGAAATAAAAATCAGGCTTATAGCGCCTTTGCTTTCGCAGTAATACATTTTTAGAACAACTGCTGCAAAAATACCCTAACAAGATCATATTTAGCCCATAAATTCCAAAAAACCTCGTCTATAACGACATTTCCATCGAAATGTTCTCAACTTTGAAGCAAATCCTGCCAAATTCATACAAAAATAAAATTGCAAACTGGGCTAAAAGAAGTGCCAAAAATTCCGAAGATTCTCAGCACTATTCGAAATACTCACACTTTTAGAGCTAGAAATCCTCTTTTATAGAACCATAGAGCAAGAGCTCAGATCCATCCCTGAAAGGTACCTGAAATTGGTCAATTCCCAACTCCATACTTTCATACATCAGAAACCTGTGGCGGCTCTGTGAACACCGAAAGTTTCATTGTTCTGCAGCATGGTCGTTGTTAGGCATCTAATGAAGAAGTTTTGCGCGAAACCGTGCAGAAAACTGCTGCTAGACGGTGAACGCGGCGGCTTTTCACTAGCATGAGAAAACCGCCAAATCAATTGTCCAAAGCCGAACGTTTATACCACCTTAAGGAGGCATAAATCTCCCGAGTGTATCGGCAGCAGTAAAGTTAATTGACCAAGGAGGAACAAACAGGTCGGAGCAGATTAGGCCGCATCGTGACCACCATCTTTGCGAAAGATTAGCCAGAGATTAACATCAAGGGGTTGGGCCAAACGTGAAGAAGCAGGAACATTGAATGCTTTTCATGCTGGCTGAATTTGCAAAATCTTTTTGGTCAGGAGGACCGACTCATACAACGATTTAATAAGGTAATTTTAATTGTAGGAAATATAAAGAGAAAGTGCAATTATTCTCACCAATTTGGCAATGAAGTTTACATCAGCTGCTAAAGTAAATCCCCATCAATATTCGTTCTCTTAAGTGCACTCATTTGTAATTATTAAGAGCAAAGCTCGTTCTTGGGAGGTTTTCAACTGAAAAACCAGCAAATATTCCCACTAAAACCTCAGAATTTGCGCTTTTAGTTGCAATTTACCTCCGAACTAGCATTAGTTTCCCGAATACTTCATCACCAGGTAGAGAAAGTTGCAACTATTTCCCACTGAAAAACAAAAATTAAGAGATTTGTTCTTTGAAATGAACAATTGGTAGCATCAAAATAATTTCCCCTCTTCAGAATCTTATTTTGGCCGTAGATAAAGCGCATTCGTGTGCAGTTTTAGCTGAAAAATTGCCAAATATTCCCACTAAAACCTCAGAATTTGTTCTTTTAGTTGCAATTTACCTCCGAACTAGCATTAGTTTCCCGAATACTTCATCACCAGGTGGAGAAAGTTGCAACTGTTTCCCACTAAAAAACAAAAATTAAGAGATTTGTACTTTGAAATGAACAATTGGTCGCATCAAAATAACTTTCCCTCTTCAGAATCTTATTTTGGCCATAGATAAAGCGCATTCGTGTGCAGTTTTAGCTGAAAAATTGCCAAATATTCCCACTGAATCTGAACTTGTTGTGCCTTTCGTTGTAAATACCCAGCAAACTATCACTGATGAACTGAAAAGCGGAAAATCAGCAAGAAAAATACTAACCCAGCTGAAAATTATGTCACCCTTACTCTTACACCCAAAACTTGTAGATTTCAAGCAAGGTGAGTCGCATTCTTTGCTTTTTTCCAAAAACTTTGGCTACAATTGAGCTACTGAGGCCTAAAAGTGACAATTATTTTCACTAAATCCAGTCTTCTATCTTTACATATGAATAGAATTTATATATAAAGATAGAAGATTTTTATTAGAATAAAAAAGGAAGTCGGTAAAAATATTACAAAAATAACATTTGCCTGCCATAAAAACAATTACCAGCCAGTTTGTAAATAAATTTGCTCAGTTTGGAAGAAAGTTTGCAAAAGGCAAAATTTAGTCTGCATTCCGATTTTACTGGATTTTTTTTTCGCATACACATTAAACCCTTTCTTGCAAAACTGCGGAGTTTCAGTCTTTTATCTGCCGAAGTTTGACCACAATATTTTTTAAGGCAACCTGCTCAACTTACTTGAGACATTTTTTAAGCAGAAAACTTACAGTTTTTTCTCTGTTGCAGCTTGGACGTAATATTTTTTTGAGATAAATATGCATACAACTTACTCTGGTCGGTTTCCTGGAAGAAAGTTTGCAAAAGCCTAAAAATTCCTTCTGTATTGCGATTTTTCTAAAAATTTTTGCCAATATGCATCTTTGTTCAAAAGTATGGACTTTCAGTTCTTTATCTATTGGAGTTTGGCGGCAATTAATTTTTTAGGACCGCTTACTGAACTCACTTAGGCGGCTTTTTAGAAGCAAGTTTGCACGGAGCCTTAAATTCGCTCTGCATCTGCTCTGTATAAAAGTAAGCTTTGTCTGCCACGAAAACAATTAAAAGCCAGCTTTTACGTAAATCTGTCCAGTCAATGATTGAAAACACTGGAAAATAGACGAATTTCAATCAAAAACACTCAGATTTCAAATGTTTCCCAACCAATTTCCATCAGTTTCTAATTTTTGGGGCAAGATGCACAAAATATTAGAAAATCTTGTGTTAGATTTACTCAAAAAATCTGGTTAATTTTTTTTTAAACCCACCAGCTTCAAGCAATTGATGCGAAATCCAAACTCTTTTGATAATATTTCGGTTTTACATTAATGCAATAAAACCCACATAAAATATAAAAAATAGTCTATTTATTGAAACATTACACAAAAAAATCCTAAATCTACATCGTCGTATCAAAGGACTTACAACGTTAAATGGAAATAAGGCACTTGGTTTCACGTGATAAACGAAAAAATATACACAATAGATACAGGAATGACCGAAAAAACGCGGCCACTTTCTCCACCCCAAAAAATCAGGCAAAAGACGGCCGGTTGTTCAGGGCATTCAGTATTATGGCACGAAAGACATGAAGATTGTACACAAATAAATTAGTCTAATAATTACCTAGAGTGCGATGCAGATTTGCACAATTTTGCTGCTAAAATTATGTATGACCTAATAACGAAAACTTTGTATAATACATGATAAAGCTGCCAGCGATTGCTGCCGCCCGATTGGGCGGCCAAATGTACAGTAGTAGAAAAACTCCCCAAAATTACCCCCTAAAAATATCACAAAGTTCCTAAACCCGCCCTAGGCTCAGCCGGCGTTAGCTGAAGTCATTCAGGTAAGTGTCGAAGGGCAAATGGTCGGAAAAGTCGGAGGAAAAATCGACGGAAGTAAGCGAGTCATCAAAGTCCACGCAAAACTCCTGCGGAGTAAGCGAGTGATCGGACAAGTCACTATTTACCGGCAAAGATTCGCCATCCGACTCCAGCAGAAAGGATTCCAGCTCGGAGCACTCAGAAAAAATGTCCTGATGAGGCAACTCGGCCGGACTGCTGCTCAGGGCGGCCGAAAGGGCTGCAATATACTTCATGGCAAGACGCAGGGTGGTGATTTTTGTCAGTTTTTCATTCTGCTGCAGATTGGGAGTGATCTGAGGCACGGCCTTCCTAAGCGTCTCGAACGCCTGGTTGATTTCCTTCATGCGAGTGCGCTCCCTCGCATTAGCAGTTTTCCGGCGATATTTGCTCAGAGGAGCAGATTTCGGCTTGGCCACCTTCTCCGAGTGGCACTTCTTGGAATGAACCAACGGGATTTCTTCAAAGTCCGACAGGACATTCTTCCGGCGAATCGTGCGCGGTCTCAACCCGTACTTTTCACCCCGTTTTCCAGCAACACCACTGGAATTGTTGTTCGAGTCCAGGGCGAAGCCCAAACGCTCCGAAAGCTCTTGTTCGTACTGCAACATGAGGATTTAGCGGATTTTCTCGGCCAGTCATAGAACGGTCTTTAGTACGCGCGGCCCTCAAAGAACCACCAGATCGCGCAAGAAGCTGCAGATACTGCTAACTGCAGCAGCAGGAGACGGTGACTAAATTTGGTGCGACTTGCTCGATCTCTCGAGGTAGCAGGTTCGCTTTAAAGCTGACCATCTCCCACTGTCTTTGACTCCCGCACACACTTATTGGGGGAGGGTCATGTGGACTTTTCTTCAGGTAGATTGACCTTAAAGTCGTTTGCTGGCCGCTCGCTGATGTAACCGATGAGTTTTCAATAGCTTGCAGCCGTTTAGAAATTTGCAATTGTTCTGGCTGGAGCAAATTCGATTTAGCCATTGCTCAAATGTTGGCTGCCTGGTACGCTTTTTCTGCGCGAAATTAAAAATTGATTGAGTGGCTCAATTTTGCTAAAATTTCATGCGGGTGCACACGGAACCCTTTTGTGCAAAAGTCTAAAAGTTCAGACATTTAGCTGCTGTGGATTGCCCGCAGTGATTTTTAAGGCAACCTGCTTAACTCGCGTATGGCGGTTTCTTCAAGGAAAGTTCGCTAGGACCTAAAAATGCGCTGTGCTCACCGATTTAATTCAAAATTTACCTGGATGTAACACTCGAACCCTTTGCTACAACATTTCAAAGTTTCAGCATTTTATCTGTTGCCGCTTGGCCGCAATGGACTTTTTAGGCAAACGTGCTTACCTCAATCTGAACGATTTCCTTGAAGAAARCAAGAGCTAAAAAATTTGCTCTGCATTCTGATTTTGTTCGGATTTTCTGCACAAAAGCCCAAAATTTCAGTAATTTCTCTATAGTAGCTTGGCCGCAAGAACTTTTTTAAGACAACCCCTTAACTCAATATTTGGCGGTTTTTTAGAAGGAAGTTTGCAAGCAGCTAAAAATTTGTTGTGCTGGCCGATTTTATTTAAATTTTATCTGAATATGGCACGGTCCCTTTGGTCAAATAACCCAGAATTTCAGGCGTTTAACTGGCACAGCTTGGATGTAATTATTTTTTTAGGAGAACGTGCTTAGCTCTGCTTAGACGGTTTCTTTTAGGAAGGAAGTTCGAGGGAGCCTAAACATGTGTTGTGTGAGGAGCCTAAACATGTGGGATTCACATTTTTTTAAATTTTTTTCCTAATTTACATAAAGCCGTTTTGTGCAAACCCCCAGAATTTCAGTCTTTAATCTGCTGTAGATTCGTTGTTATGATTTTATTCCAGAAAACCGTGTCAGATCGCCTTGCACGGTTTCTTGGAACGCAGTTTGCATGAGCCTACAAATTCACATTGTAGTCCGATTTTGTTCGAATTTTTGGCAAAAATAGACCGAACCTTTCTGTGCAAAAACCCAGAGTTTTAGCGTTTTATCTGTTGCAGATTGACCGCAATTATTTTTTTGGGAGAACCTTCTCAACTTGCTTTGTGCGGTTTCCTGGAAGGTTGAGGGAAATTCCTTGATGTTTTCTTTATTTCTATCGGTTTAATTTCTCATTGGCTTGAAAATTTGGGTTTTTTTCTTACCTCAACCCTCGTGGTTAAGGAGTCGAGTTAACCTTTAACACGGCCTTCGGCCACCCAATTGAACAATTAAGACCTTCCCATTTTTTCCATAACAATAAACTCTGCGGTCTCAATTAACTAATCGTTGCGTAATGGAATTCCATTAGTCGACAACATAACTTATGGCACAGACAGAAGAAAAAAGGACGGTTTCGGTATTTAGCCTCAAATTGCTGTAAATTGATTTACGTGAGAAAAGTACACAAACTCGTTATTTCTAGACGATGGACGCTTTGTGCGTCCCATTTAACCAATTTCGTTTGGTCGAACGTTTTTTCTTACGCCTGTGCTTCTTTTGCAATCGGGTTATGCATCATACCTTTAATTATGTTGCTCGCATCGCTTCTAATGCAATAATTGCCACTGCTTGCGCTGTATAAGGAAAAAACCGCAGGCAGCTAAATAAAAAAATATATTTACAGATCTATAAGTACAAAAATAAATATCTTAAATCGACGAAAATCAACTAGAAAAACGAGCTGTATTTCTCCACTAAGTGTATGTAAAAGTTGGGAGTTTCAATGTCTCCCAATGGCCGAAAGTCGCCGAAGATCTGATAGGTGGAATTCTCCCCAAAGGCCTGCTCCAGCATGTGGGTGAATACCTTCAGTCTATGAGGGTAGTAGGAGAGTCTGAATTCACTGGAAAACAACGGAAATTTAGCCCCGAATCACCCGCAACTATCCAGTCGTTCGCACCTCACTTGGGACTCTTCGACCCATCGGTCCTCCTTGTCCGAACTGAGATCAATCAAATAGTCCAACGTGACCAAAGCTGGCTTGCCACTCACGTAGAGAACTGAGGTTTTTATGTCCGTTGTATGTGTGGGCTAAACAGCAAAAAAGACCGTTTTTTCCAGTTTTCTTTACAGCTTGCTCACTGCATATTCCCTACTTACATTGTAATAAATACTCTTAGCGGCTGTTTCTCCACTATCAATAATATTGTCGTAGTTGCGATGATCAATCAGCAGAAACCCTCCAGGTTTGACGCACTTTTCAAAGTTCCTCAAGGCCAGCCTGAAAAACCCTCAATCACTCTTTACTCTTCACATTTCTCCCTCTCGTCCTCACTTTTGCTCGCGCTGATCCCCGAAATTATCCAGCAAATGAGCGAAAGAATTCCCCAAGCAAATCACCGCATCGAAGCCATCGCCCACCAGATCTTCAATGTCATCGTACAAAGTCACCCAGTTGGCTTCTTCAATTGCTGCAAAGAAAATGAACGGTTTGATAAGGCGGGTTTGTGCGAAAAGAATGGACAACTTACTCCATTTGTCGAATGCTGAATCCCTGCGGCGCGCCCATCTGGACTTCAGCGCGTATTTTAGCATTTTATCGGAAGCATCCACTGAAACCACCTCGAAACCTTCTTCCACTAGCATGATGGAGTCGATTCTGCAAAAATCGGGCCATTAGCAACTTGCAAAAAACTGCTGAGCCTAAATGTGTGTACCCAGTTCCGCAGGCAACGTCCAAGATGCGCTTGCAGCCCTTTCTGCGCAAAACGCCCAAAAGAAAGTTCTTGTAGTTCTGAGTCCGGGAGTTTTTGTCGCCGATAAAGGCTTCCCATACTTTGGCCGCCTTTCCATCCGCATACTGATCCTTCATGCCTTCGAGGGCGGCGCCTTGCGTTCGAGTATTAATCACGTTCTGAGCCATTGCTGAGACCCCAAAAAAATGTTCAGTCTTACTTTGGGTGCTAATAGACAAAAAATCATGCTTTCTAACTGAAAAAAATGGGTAAACCCCAAAAATCAACTCACCGAAAATGAAGAGGATTTTTTTCAAATTGCAAAACCCAAGTCACTGTGCGTGCGATAAATCAATACACATAAATTACCAAAGAGATTATATCCGTTTTATACTAAAAGAGCTGCTCTCTTTTCCTGCAACGCCTTAAGAACCCCAACCTTTGAAAAATGAACGTAAAGTGATTTTTTGTCAGGATTTTCTCTGATTAACCACGGTAAAAATATTGCCTGGACATTCTTGACTGGATGGGGGCTGAATTTAGCATGTGTTTTCCCAACGAAGTGCCTGCTGTTGTTATGTGGATCTCTTCAAGTCCGTTTAAGTCTTGTCAATATTAAACTTTTAGTCGAAGTTAGTTTATTTACTTAATGTGGAAATTCAAGATTAATGTTAATTTTGAAGTCCGTTGTTAGTATTTGGCTTGTATCTAGAGAACCGGTTCAGTTGCAAAGCTCCAGTTACCAATGCGAGATAGATCCTTAAATTGACCCAATTTTTACATAAAAACATCATTTAAGAAATATTTCTGGCTTTCACGCAGAATGCAAAAATTTGAGATTAACCGCTTTTTGTCATTGCTCATATTTCGAGCACCAGATAAGCTAAAAAGCTCTGTCGCTGCGGGATACAGCCTTAAATTGCGCTCTTTTTTGTATAAATATAAATCATTGTATAAATGTTTTTGGTTTTCACGCAAAAGACAAAAGTTCAAGATTAAAATGCGGGACTGAGATCCGCTCTTATTATTTTGCTCATATTTAGAGAACCCGTTGAACTGCAAAGCTCTGTTTGCCAACGAGGAATAGAGGCTTAAAGTGCGCACTTTTTGCAAAAAGCCGCAATTGAATTGGTACGCTTAATGCTGCGGATAACACGACGATAAGTTACATCAGCCCAGCAATGACTTGCATGTTCACTAACAATAACTGGGGGTTTGGAAATCTGATCAGTTATCAGTTGTTTCGGCTGATTTTGAACCTGCAGGTCGCACAAACACCATTTTTCGTCGCTTCTGTTTAGATGATTTAGCAATATTCCTTATCTATACCCGAAATAACCGGTTAATTTTTAAACAAAATTATTCGGAATCATGGCAAAGGACGCTTGATAGGCGAAAATAAACCATTAAGAAAAAACAAGTGCTTTATTCGCCCAAAAAATCATCCAGCCATTTCTCTAGGTCCTCACTGTTGCCTGCCTGTTCAGGTGCTTTTAGTTCTGAAACAGCAGGATTAAAACCAAACTGTTTGTTACCCGCTTGATACGAAGTCTGCTCCTCATCAGAGTCCTCAAGCCCCAAACCTTCCAAATCTACAGCTGATGTATGAAAGCTCCCCAAGTATTCTTCATAGGCCTCTAGATTAGCCTGGGCTCTTTGCTCCATTTCCCGGATTTGGCTCTCCTGCAACTCATCAGAATTTAACTCCGCTAAACATCTACAGCTACCAATTACCTCAAAATACTCCTTGGAAATCCCCAATTTCTGCCAAAAGGGCACAGTTGCCATGCTCTTAGCCAGCAGGGCCACATTCAAAGCAAATAGCTCCGGCTCAGTTTCAACACTGTCGGCCTGCCGGCGGCTGCCTATCGTCAAAGGGGCGCCGGCCAGCAGGGCAAAGTCCGTGCTGCTGGCCAACTTGGGCCCCAATTCGTCGCCCTCTGGCTTTTCATAGCGATCCCAGTTGGGCTCCAATTGGGGCCTAGTTTTGGCAGGCACATACTTTCGGTTCTTCGTGCTGTTTCCCTTGTATTTGGTCTTTTCGCGGTGGTGTTTTATGCCCCTGAGATGTGAATTCATCAAGCAAGACAAATGTAACCGTGTTCTGATAGAGACAATACCTGCTCTTGTCTTTTTCCATTGAGCTAATCCAGATTCAGGGGTTCAAAGGGGCAAAGCCCTATAAAATAATTAATATGTGTAAACAACAACAAATCGCTGTCAGTTTTGTGCCAAATCCGGTCAAACTAACCTCAGAAACTTTACGAGCTACCTTCGGGTTTGTTGAACGTCAAAATTCACGTCAACATCTTGCCCACTAGTAGTAGAATAAAAAACATCCCCATTAAGTGGCGCAGCCCCTATTGGCAGGGTAAAATGAGGCAAGCGTTGCACGAGGAAATTGCGCAGTAATTAAACCCCAGAGTTGCTCAGAAGGGCGACAAACTCACCCGTAATGCCCTGTTTCAGGCTGAGCATCCATTCCAAGCCCTAAAGCGATGGAATTGAAAGTTTGGGTCGAAGGAATCCAACGAATAGTCTGTGGAGTCACTGAGAATACCACTTGCCAGGTAATCATTTATAGCAGCCAGTTGTTTCCAGGTTTACCCTCGATTTGTTGTTTCAGGATGTAGTGTTTGCCCTAGCTCATGCTACTGGCAAATCTGGACGGTTTACACTGATTGAACGCTGGAGGAACAACGAGAGACAACTGGCGCCCCATGAGAACCCGATGAAGATTTTGCTCAAATGGGGCGAATACTCGAACGACGTGCAGTTCATACTACAAAGAAGCGACAGCAGCAAACCCCCCAACAAGCCAAAGCCCCACAATTCAGTGGCGCAGCCCCCCTATACGGACATACTAAAAGACAGTCAAAGCCGAGCGTTTGAAACCAGGTGGTTTGTCTAAAGGCTTCGCTCTCTAGACGGTGCTGATTTGATTTTTCCAGCAAACACCTATCCAGCCCCGATAATGTGGGGATTGTGAAAGGAATCCAGCAGCAACAGGTGAAAACCGTGCAGCTCGAAGTTAGGGAACCATTCCCGAACAATTCGCCCCACAGTTCCCCTAAAAAGCCCAACTATATGGGCTCTGATTCGTCCGATCGGGGCTTGTTGGAGTCTCCTAGTCATAAGGTGGCCCCCTCCTACAAGGACCCCCCTGCGCCGCCGCCCTACAGAGACCCGCCGCCTCCTAGTTCAAATGTTAACAACGATAAGTTTAAGAAAAACATATTCCCGGTAAGACAATGCGGACTTGTGGGGAAAGGGTTTTATTTGTGGGGCTTTTCAGGCTGCGCCCAAGTGGGATGCCAAAACCCGACAGCCTCCCCAAGATAATGCTCTCTATAATGCTCAATATCGGGAATTAATCGCGCTGATCAATTATCAAAGAGACAAGCTCAACAGCCAGCAGGTGGATCTCACTAAGGTATAGATTGCATTTTTTAGTTTTTCCTTCCGGATAAAGGAGGATTTTTAATTAGTTCGACGCCGAAATAGTCTTCTGGGAAAGCAAGGAACGAGAGAAGCAGCTGCAGCTGGACTTTATTGCGCAGGAAATGGCGAACATCAGCAGCCAAACGAAAAACAACAAAGACCAAGTAAGTGCGCGATATCGTCGCGAAAATTTGCAGCTAATTGTCACCGCTAAAGATCCAGGACCTGGCCTATGTGGAGGATGAGAGCGAAATAGTCAAGCAGCAGGAGAAGACGCTCAAATCCGAAATCACCCTGCTGCGATCCAAACTGGCCAACTGTGAAACGGAACTGCTGCAATGCAAGAACAAAATAAGGTAAGCTGCGTCTCTTGATCATCTTTAAGCAAATGTAAATCTGCTTGGGGGCTCAGGCTCTTAATGGACGAGCTGCAATTGGAACAGCGAATGAGCAGCAAAAAGCACGAAACGCGCAAGCAAGTAGAACGAAGTATCCTAATGGAACTAGAGCGGATTCAAAAGGACATCGAGCTGGCCAAACAGAGCACCGACATGCACCATCTAACTGCCGAGGATCTGAAGAAAGAGGTAAATAACCGAACCAATCAGCAAGTACAGTAGGTTGATCTGAATGCATCCTTGCAGGTGGCGCAATTGGAAGTGTGCATAATCGAAAAAAAGAAGCAGGTGGAACAATTGGTTCAGGAAATGAAGGAGGCCAACCTGCAAAGTCTCAGTATCGCACCCCCCGAGGATATCCGACAAATCCTGGAGGGTCCCACCAAGGGCACGACTCGCAAAATGATCGGATCGCCCAGACAACTGGAAAACGCGGTCCCGACTAGCAAAAATCCCCACGGCGTCTGGGTCTAAAGTGATTTATTTATTCCCCATTAGCCGAAATGTAGGTAGGTTTAATGTACTTAAAAAAATTCCCTGGGAGACCCACTGGCGCCCTTGAAGGTGTTTATAGGCCATTGAAACGCAACCGGAGGTTAGGACCAATTTTATAAAAACACCCTGTATGGTACCAAGCACGCATTCAAGTTCTATGTAGTGAGATTCTTTGAAGGTAAGGGGTGTTGTCAATATTCCATGTGTCCCACGATAGGTGAAGAAGTGAAATTGGCATAAAAATCAAATTTGTGGATCCTGCTGTTGAAAAACTAAGGTCTATAAAAAATTGTTATTCCGGGTTATAGAGGGCGTTTTATAAACCAATTGGAAAAACTTATATTTTGTATACCTTAGTTTTACAACAAGCAGGATTCGATTTTTTTTGTCCAATTATTCGACTTCTTGTTAATCTATCCTGGAACTCACTGTAGATGTTTATTTAGCTCGTAATTTCAGAATCTCCATTACCAGACAAACCAGATGTTTTATAGTCGTGTAGGTTTAGCATTTACAGGATTGTATGTTCCATCTTGTCAGCTCTTTTCTCAATTAACTAGTTTGGGTTTCTTCAAATATTGCACTCATTTTTCTTCTGCTGATGCGATTTTACCATCACATTAGATTTTATTAAAAGGTTCAATATTCAAGATTATTCGGGTGGCTGATAAATAAGTTGGAACACGCTCCCTGTACTGTATTGAAATTTGAATAATTACGAAAGCCTATTGATCTCAGCAGGTCTTTTTTCCATGTAAAATATTTCCGTTTTTCTACTACTAGTAAAATGCAAATTGATAAGCCACAAAGTAAAGTCACGTGTTTCTCGACTGAAGTGTTTTGTATATTGTTATGCCATAATGTAAGCAAATTATTTATTTACATTTTAGCGAACTGCACGTTAATCTCTTGGTAGGCTCTTGTTTAGTGTTTTTTATATTTTTCTATTATTATTTATGCACCGATTTCTATTTATATTAAGTTACACTGCCATATCAAAAGGTATAGATATTTATATATATAGAAATTATAAATTTGAATCGATTAATGGTGGTTTGGTATTTCAAACTAGCTTAGAAGGAACTGGGTGCAAATAATGTAGATTGTGGGAAAATGAAACAAGCTGAATATATTTGAAAGGAAATGACGATGGCAAACACCTGCAACCAGGACCAACCCATTAACAATACACTTAGTTTAAAAATTCGTTTGCAAACCATGGTCACCATTATGTTTTTTCCTCCTTCTCCTTGTTGTACTTCTCCAACTCACGTAAAAACTGGGCTTTCGGTTTCATGACATTGGGCCGGTCCCCTCTGCATTTAGGGCAGTACCACTTTCCCTTGGGCTTCGTTGTCAGCGTCACACAGGAAAAATGGAACCACTCTATGGGGCACAAATCGTTGTCGCACATGATCATTTCCCCAAACGAAATCTGATCGCACAGGCAATAAGTGGGCTCGTCCGGATCAATAACTTGTTCTTCTGGTGGTGGTGAATCCTCCCGTTGAGCCTGGATTTGTCGCGTTTTGCGCTTTTTCTTCTTGCCAGTGGTGGTTTTCTTCTGGCTGGTGCTGGCTGTACTGGTGCTCACGGCAGGCGCCTGACTTCTAAGCACGTGATCAGTAGCGACAGCTTCAGCCTGTCTGGTTTCTGCAGGGGCGTAGTTGTCTTTTTCGTTTCTAGTCCTGCGGGCTCTTTTAACGGGGCGCTCCACGTTAATAGGAGCTGATGTGGTGCTGTTGGTGGTCGCCAACGTTACAGGAGGCGGAACCTCCTTGGGCTCCGGCAGGGATGGCTCCCCTTTGCCGAAATCTGCAAACCATCAGCCCTTTCACTTGATGCATTAAAATTGCATATACAATACTTACCTAAATTTTTAAAATCCTGGTCCAAACCGCGGGTTTTTACTTCGATTTTCTCCTGTATGATTTGCAGTAGGGTCATCTTTTCGTCGCCCAGTTCCTGCGCTGCAATCAACGCCTGCTGCATCCTCTTGAACAGTTTCTCCTTCTGGTTGTTGCTGGTGCATTCTTTCAGATGTTTCTGCTGGTTCTGTACGTCTCGCACGCGAGCTACAAATCACGATAGTTAATTTCACTTAAGGGGGCCCCTTTGGGGCTATTTTTACCTAAATAGTAGACGTCCAGTTCTCGCATACGGGAAATCAGACGCTGCAGCTCGTTAGGGAAGTTCTCCACACAGTCCAGGTAATTTTCGACATAGGTGGCCGAGTATAGGGCTTCTACCTTGACTTGGTTCAGCATTTTTGCTCAGTTTCTCTGGCACATATTGGAGAAAATTCAAATTTAACCAAGGGAAATCGGACCCAAACAAAGCAGGTTAGTATTACTTTGACAATTGACGCCTACGCTGTGTTGCCAGTGTGCGCTTTTCATCCGAACTTACGCTTTAACTAGAGGGCTGGGGCAACGAGGACAGCTTTGCTCCACGGCTATTAATATTATAAACACAGCCACTGGGCTCTCAAATGTAGCTGCTGTACTACTGTACTAGCCTGCTTTTGTCTCAATCAGGACGCATTTTTCTGTGGAAGGCGAATTCTGGCAACCACGCCCTTGACTCTAGTCTTCTTCTTGTGTAACTTGGGGAGGCGATATCCTGCGCCCTCTGTCTAGCCGTTGTGTATTACCGAAGCCGTGAGTCGGAATAGTTTTTTAAGAATTACACTGAGTGTTGGGCAAAAGTGGGCAAAGTAGGCCACTGATTCTTCACGCGTAGAGGAAAATTACTTTCTCTAGCAAGAATTCAGTGGGTTTCACCAAACGGCGCCAGAATGCATAATCCATCATCATTCCATTGGAAATTGGTTTTTTTTCTGAGAACAAAAAAATCGCCGTTTATTGATCAGTTTTATGACTAATAAAATATTTATTCAATGTTTGTCGCATACAAATAATGGGCGTTTCAGAGCGGGGCGTTATATGCAGCGTATGTGTTAAGTAACGGTCGTTGCGCCCTTTGATATGGACCTGCAGGCTTTTTTAGAGTACAAAGTTAAAACTTAACAAAAAACAACTAAATCACATGGTTAATACCGTCGAGTATCGATTTTATAACAAGTGGGTGAAAAAAAATACAAAATAACTCAGTTATTTGTAAATAACATTATAAGAACCGAGAAGAAATTTATCAATCCGTTGGGTTTTTTTAAGAGTAAATGTAGCCTATAAACAGAATTATAAGTTTGCTTGCAAACCGATTAAAATCTCATTGTGAATGGAAGGACACCTGCGGGTTAAAATCGGTTAAATTCGTCAGTCTTGAGAGCATCGAAACATCCGCGTTTTTCTTAGATAAAAGCGCCGCTTTCACTTAATTATCCTCAATAACCCGGCGCAAAAACCTAAATTCGCCTGAGGAGATTATTAATAATTATTAAGTAGTTACAATAAGTTTACCACCAAAACTCCATCCGTTGAACAGTTATAGAGAAGTGCAGAGATAGAATATTATGTACAGTGCAAAATATACAAAAACATTTACAGGGTGGCTAGCAATTTGCTTGAAATACCTTAACGGAGACAAAAACTCGAAGTTTTTTATATAAACATGGGCTCCCAAGTGCTTAGTTTTGAAAATGCAGGGCGTTAAATTGGTTTTTGCAATTTTTTTTTGAATAAAATTGACTAGACTCGAAGCATGTAACATACGAGTTAAGGTAGATCCCCCTTCAATTGACTGTAACTTTTCGCTCACCAAGTATATCGGCGATTGGGATTGCTTCGTTTCTTCCCTTATCAGTTGTGAGCAAAAAAGGCCACTTGGTCGAAAACCCCCGCAGAATAGTATTGGAAATATCGAGCTTTAAAGTGTGAAAATAAGTAAGCACAGTTGCGGTATTGCACAGTAATTTCCAGACACCCTGTAGATACTTCCCCACTTTGTTTATTTATGAGCCTCGTCGGTCAGTGCTTAACATGCATTTATGTTGCATTTTTGCATGTATGCAAATCGGATAAAACCCATCCGAATTAAGGCTCCAAATATTTTGCGGTGGCCGCTCTGTACAGGATTGTTTTTATACAGGCTGTCTGCAAAACGCCTGCACAAAATCCTTCCGCAATTTCTTTGCCATAGCACACTTTTCGATTAAACAGAACAGGAGGAATTTTTCTCCATACATTTTACAGACACCCTGTTTAACACGTAAAGAGTTAATTATTATATTTGTATCACATTCCGCATAGAAAAAAACAGAAACCAAATCTTTCAAGTGTTCAAAGTTCACAAAAAACAATCTAATACCCTGTGTTTGATGCAAAAACTGAATCAAGAGTGGCGATTTTGGAATGAATCGGGAAGACGGTCGGTCTCGAAATAAAACAACGCGCATTTAAATGGCTTACCAGATGTGAAAAATCCGCCCCAACGCAAATAATTCGTCTGTGGAAAATTGCTGAGAACTACTTGCTTGCACAGCCAGAATTTGAGGTAGATTTTTCACACGGAAAAATTGGAAATAAATTAAATTACTAGCTAAATGACCAAATATTATCTGTCGGTGACGGCGAAACCATGCTTGAAGATGACCAGGTCTTTCTCGTGAAAGTCCAAATAAGCAGTGAAATGGAACGCGATGTTGGAGAGCACCACAATGTATTCTGAGACAGCAAACATCGAGTACACTTAAAGAGAATTTCTTTCAGCAGCAACTCTTAAGAAATATGGTAAAAATTGAAAACTTACCATAAGGTTCACACATCGAATTGTGTCGCATAAAAAAGTACACAGCCAGAGAAATGAAGACAACATTGGCGATCATACAGCGCTTCTTCCAGAGCAAGCTAAGCCTGAGGGGGCGTTTATATCTGCTCTGCACAATACAGATCAGCAGCATGTAGATTTCGGACACCAAAATGAACGTGACAAAGGCCTTTTCATGTACAGCTGAAAAAGCGGCGTGTTTAACCCGAGTTTGGGGCACACGTTCGATCCCTTACCATAAAACTTGGAAGAAGTAAAAAACGACAAAGTTATCAAGGAAATATTCTCCACAATGTTCAGGATAAAGGCCAAATAGCCCATCCACATGTTCTTCGAGTGCAGCATCTTGTGGTGATGGTTCAAGTACTCTCTCGCCACCAGAATCCTGGGAAACAGCTGCAGAGTCATGGCAGTCTGCCAGATCTCCCTCTGGGGCGAAAAGTTTCCTATCGCGGCGGATATCGAAGGCAGCGCATTGTAGACTTGGCAGTGCGTGTACGTGGCATTTTCAAAGTTAAAAATCACAGAGTAGATGATACAAAACAGGAAAGCGAGCAGGGGAAAACACATCACCAGCACAATCACCTTTGTGAACGATACGCGCAAATTCGGCCTGTACTCGTACTCGTTGTAGATCAGCGCGTACTGTGTCTTGCTCGGGCCCATTGTTCGCCCCTTAATCTATAAACAGTCCTAAATTGTAAACGGTTTTATCAAAACATTGTTTTTAGTCGAAACATTGAGGTTACAACAAACGTCAGCTTGGTAAACATCAATAAACCCCCGGCTACGTCTACGCCCCCGCGGATACCAAGTGGCAATTGGATGAGGAAATGGGGCGTGGCCCAGCTAAAAATCCGAACACTGTAAGGATTTTAATTTGCTCGGGGTTTTTTTGCCAAGAACACCAAAAAAAATTTCTATAAATGATTACTGATATAAAGATACATAAATAAACATCCTGATATTTTTTTGGAAATAAAAAAAATAATATTGAAGAAAATTAAAAAATTCCATCCTCCAGCTAAAAAAATATGTAAAAACACCGGCTTTAATTGCCTGGTTGGCAATTTCCTCTAAATCGTCATAGAACAAAATTCCCGATCACTATCCAACTAATAGCTTTTGTTATGGCGCCCATCCAAGCCTGTTGGGCGCAATTAAAAACCCATTTCCAGCGGGGATTTTATCAAAAAATCATGCAAATCCGGGCCGAGCCATTAATTTATAAAACCCCATTTTTTGCGAAAAGCAGCTCATTACCAGCTAAACAGCACACAATGAATTTGGTTTGGGTGCTGCCTTTTCTTTGTTATTTGCGCTTTAGCTGTGCCTGTGTAAGTCTCAACACCCTGTAACACTTTCTCAGTTGATCAGATTCCGGTTTACAGAACGGCTACTCCATTAAGCTGGTGAAGTACCAAAATTGCGTGGATGACAGCATCATCAAGCTACCAGCGAAGGATTTTACCGTGATTCTAGACAAAGAGTGCAACGTGTATGGGAGCGGATGTGTGGAAATCACCAAAGACTTTACAACTGCTAAGGTTTCACTTCATAGAACCACTCTAATAGACAAACAATGGATTTTATTTGCAGGGAAAGTACCAAGCGAAAAAAGCGCCCCTTCCTTTGATCGAGGGCGAGATAAACTTGTGCGAACTTTCCGACCTGCTGAAAAATACCCCCAACTTGGCTGAAGGGCTGGATGTGATGGGCATTCCCACCAAATGCCCAGTTAAGGCGGTAAGTTGTGGTAAAGCTGCAAACATTTGCCCAAAATTGGAGCTTTTTAGAGGAAAATCTGCAGCGGCACCGAAAACAAATTCAGCCTGTTGAAGTACAAAAACCAAATTGGGATGGCTGCAGGAAATTCGGAGTTTAAGATCGAAATCGAGCATGACACCGGAAGAAGTTGCATAGAAATTCATGCGAGCATCAGCAAGGCAAGAAAAGGGTAGCAGGGTGCGTTTCATGAAATAAGTATTTTCAATAAACGCTACTAATCTATGAGTGGGCTCTCGATTTCATCAAACTGATAAAATCCTACATTTTTGTATCTAATTACTTTCATTTGTCCCGTGGTCACAGTTCCTGCATATTTCATTCTAATGGTTATTCATCGATGTTATTATCTACAATTTTAACAAATTATGCTGTATTTTATCGTCCTTTTACACTATTGCAATAAACGTGTTTGCTGCCGGTGAGAGTTGCGTAGAACTGGTTAATCCTTTAGAAGGTAGGTATTCAGGAAACTAATATATTTTGCTAAAATTTGCTGAAAACAGGCCAAAAAGTTGGTCTATTTATCTCGAGGTAAAAGCCACTTTTTGTGGAAAAATCATGGTGAGTTTCTGCTTGATGGACTTTGAGTGTTTTTGAGCTAAAATTTATTTGCTTTTTGCTATTGCGTGTTGCTGTGATTCTTCCTGTTTTAGTTGGCAAATAGAATTTTTTAGTGCTACCTATTTGGTCAATGTTTGAGAGCCTTTGAAAAATCAAACTCGCACTGGATTTGAGTGAGATTTTGTTTGGGTTTCTCCTCGAATTTTACCTTTACTTCAATTAAAATTTTAAGTCACGTGTTTTCGTTTTAGACCTGTAAGAGTTTCTGAGTGCTTTATCTTAGATTATGTTTAAGAAGCCATAGAAAAATTAGTAGAGGATAAAATTTGACGGAATGTCCATCTGAGCATCAGTTCAAAGGTTCTTTTGACTTGGTGAAAACCCCAGTTTATTAGCAACTGTAGTTTGTACTTGAGATTATTTGAGTGGGCTAATACAAGTGTCCAAAGTCGAAATTTTCTGCGTCTCATTAGACAGCCTGGGAAAAATTAATCTCGCCCTCGATTATAGTGAAACTTTGTCATAGCATTCCTGTATATGTCTGTTTTACAGGGGCAAAATCTTGGAGGCCAACTTCAGTTGGTTTAAACGTGAGATTTTTTTAATCGGACCATGTAAGGCTTTTGACTGCTTCCAACTAAAGTCATGTTTGAGGAGTTCTACAAAACTCAGGATTGGACTCAGTGTGACAGAAGCTCCGTCTAAGCATCTGCTCAAATGTTCTTTCGGCCTCATTAAAGTTTCAGTTCATTATCGCCCTTGGTTTCAAAATTAAATTATTTTCGATTGGCTACTGCTAGTGCCCGAAATCGCTTATTTTCCGGGTCACATACGCGTACCCTAAAAATAAGAATCGCCCTAAAATCGAGTGAAACTTTCTCTGCAGTTTTCCTGATATGTTGCTTCCATAGTGACAAAATTCCAGCAACAAACTTTTTCAGGTTTGAAAGTGAGATTTTTTTCCTTAAGTGCTTGTGACTGCTTTCTCTTGGGGTGATATTTGAGAACTCTGTAAAAATTAGAGTCGGACTAAATTCGAGTGAAACTCAGTCTGTACAGTAATTCAAGTGCTGTTTTCGCTCTGTTAAAATTTCTGATGGCCCTACTCTTGTTCGCTTTCAATTAAAAAAATTTGCAGTTGCATCTGAAATTTTTTCTTTCCAGACACATTTTTAGCCACTCCCAACAATCAGCACATCACTGTGTTAAAGTAAAAACCTCTTCACATTATTCTACTGCATTTTGTTTTTACCGGTGGAAGATTTGAGCTTGCTACTTGTTTTAGTGTCAAAATGGGAATTTTTTAAACAGACTCTTGTAAATGTCTGAAATTGCTTCTTTTCATAGCCAAATTGCCGGGGCTGGCAAAAGTCAGAAGCTCACTGGACTCAAGTGAAACTTCTCCAACTTTTAGCCTTCAGTATTGTTTCCACGGTGTTAAAGTGCCAAGTTGTTAGCTGGTTCAGGTTGAGTAAGAGATTTTTTCAAACAAGCTGCTGCAAGTGTCTGAAACGTTCTCAATCAGGGTCATCTACAAGAGGAGCGTAAAAATCAGAAACTTGTGGGATTGGAGTGAATCTTCTTCTGATTGTTCTTAATACAGTTGCGTTTATTGTGTGAAAAGTTTAGGTTGGTGCTTGTTGTCGCGTGGAAATGAGATTTTTTTAAGCAAACGCGAGCCACTGCCTTAGATTCCTTCTTTTCAGAGTCATCTTCTAGAGGCCAGTAAAAATCAAAAACTCACTCTTACCTTCAAGGAAACTTCTCAGGAGGGTTCATTTCGATATTTTGTTTCCTTGCAGTTTGTTGTCTATGTAGGGTTGAAAAAGACCACATTTTTTTAACCACTGAAAATATAGTTTGTCCAATTCATGTTTGAGAAGCGCACAAAAATGTTAAACTCCGTGGATTCAGGCGAAACTTCGCCTTAACATTCCCTATGGTGTTGCTTTTGTTGCACTAGAATTTCAGGTCGCTACCTGTTATGGTTTATTGTATATCGCTGTTATTGTTTCTGTTTTATTTGTCAACTAGAATTTTTTATTTAGTGCTACCTATTTCGTCAATGTTCGAGGGCCTCTGAAAAATCAGACTCCCACTGGATTTGAGTGAGACTTTATCTGAGTTTCTCCTCGAATTTTACCTTTACTTCAATTAAAATTTTAAGGCGTTACGTGTTTTGGTTTTAGCCCTGCAATAGTTTCTGAGGGCATTATCTTAGAGTCGTGTTTGAGAAGCCCTAGAAAAATCAGTGAGGACCAAAATTGACCGAAGCTCCATCTGAGCATGAGTTCAAAGGTTCTGTTGACTTAGTGAAAACCCCAGTTAATTAGCAGCGGTAGTTTGCAGGTGAGATTTTTTTGAATTGGCGAATGCAAGTGTCTAAAGTCGAAATTTTCTGCGTCACATTCGAGAGCCTGTGAAAAATTAATCTCCTACTCGATTATAGTGAAACTTTGTCGCAGCGTTCCTTTATATGCTTGTTTTACACGGGCAAAATATTGTACACCAACTTCAGTTGGTTTAGACGTGAGATTTTTTAAATCGGACCATGTAAGTGCTTGTGACTGCTTCCAACTAAAGTCATGTTTGAGGAGTTCTCCAAATTCAGAATTGGACTCAATGTGACAGAAGCTCCGTCTAAGCATCTGCTCAAATATTCTGTCGGCCTCATTAAAGTTTCAGTTCATTACCACCCTTGGTTTCAAAATTAAATTATTTTCGATTGGCTATTGATAGTGTTCGAAATCGCTTATTTACAGGGTCACATACGCGTGCCTCCTAAAAATCAGAATCTCCCTAAAATCGAGCCAAACTTTGTCTGCAGTTTCCCTGATATGTTGCTTCTATAGTGACAAAATTCCAGCAACAAACTTTTTTGAGTTCGGAAGTGAGAATTTTTTCCTTAAGTGTTTCTGGCTACTTTCTCATGGGGTGATGTTTGAGAACTCTGTAGAAATTAGAGTCGGACTAAATTCGAGCGAAACTCAGTCTGTACAGTAATTCAAGTGCTGTTTTCGCTCTGTTAAAATTTCTGATAGCCCTACTCTTGTTCGCTTTCAATTAAAAAAATTTGCAGTTGCATCTGAAAAATTTTTCTTTCCAGACACATTTTTAGCCACTCACTATTGCTTCTTTTCAGAGCCAAATTCCCGGGGCTCGCAAAAGTGAGAATCTCACTGAACTCGAGTGAAACTTCTCCAACTTTTAGCCTTCAGTATTGTTTCCACGGCGTTAAAGTGCCAGATTGTTAGCTGGTTCGGGTTAAGAAAGAGATTTTTTCAAACAAGCTGCTGCAAGTGTCTGAAACGTTTTCTATTCAGGGTCATCTACAAGAGGAGCGTAAAAATCAGAAACTTGTGGGATTGGTGTGAAACTTCTGCTGATTGTTTCTACTACAGTTGCGTTCATTGTGTGAAAAGTTTAGGTTGGTGCTAGTTGTCGTGTGGAAATGAGATTTTTTTAAGCAAACGCGAGCCACTGCCTAAGATTCCTTCTTTTCAGAGTCATCTTCTAGAGCCCAGTAAAAATCAAAAACTCATTCTTACCTTCAAGGAAACTTCTCAGGAGGGTTCATTTCGATATTTTGTTTCCTTGCAGTTTGTTGTCTATGTAAGGTTGAAAAAGACCAAATTTTTTTAACCACTGAAAATATAGTTTGTCCAATTCATGTTTGAGAAGCGCACAAAAATGTTAAACTCCGTGGATTCAGGCCAAACTTCGCCTTAACATTCCCTATGGTGTTGCTTTTGTTGCACTGGAATTTCAGGTTGCTACCTGTTATGGTTTAGCTATAGGATTTTTTCAAACAGGCGAATGCAAGGGTTTGAAATCGCGTCTTTGCAATGAAACGTTTGTGAAACTCTTAGAAACGAGAAACTCGCTGGATTTGAGGATTTTCCAGATTTTGGATATTGTCTTCGTGGCGTTAAACCCTCCTGCTTTAGTTTAACACCTATATTTTTGGGGGTAGATCCGATGCGATGGTTTATGATTGCTACCATTTAGTCGGCTTTGACGGCCCGCAAAAGGCCAGTCGTTACTTAGATTTGATTGAAAATTCCACCCTTTATTGCCCCAAGTGTTTTTTCTACTTGGTCAAAATTTGGGTACTGTACGTGCTTTGGTGTTAAAATTGAAATTTTTTAAACGCGTATCCGCAGAAATCCGTCCCTGCTTTCCCCAAGGGATCGGAATAAATTATAAGTCTAGGCCTTAGCCTAAATATTTGTTAAAAATCACCCAAACAGACAGAGAAAAACACCAAACCACCCTGAACGTTTCGGCCCTTAAAACCCCATCCATCTTCAACGGGAACATTTTTTCAGAAACATGCTACGTCCAGTGCTCTACGCTGTCTTCATCTCATCAGCCATCGCCCTGCCTGAAACTGGCTGGTACCCCAAATATCACATCGCACCCCAACATGGCTGGATGAATGACCCCAACGGCCTCATCTACTTCCAGGGCTTCTACCACGTATTTTGGCAATACAACCCCGCGGCGCCCCAATGGGGTTTAATGCACTGGGGTCATGCTAGAAGCCCCGATTTGCTCACTTGGGAGCACCTGCCCATCGCCCTTGCCCCATCCCTACCCGGGGACATCGATGGGGCATTCTCAGGGTCAGCAGTTCTCCTGAATGAGACCCTCACCCTCATTTATACGGGGGTTAGCGAGAATGGCACTCGGCAGGTGCAAATGGTTGCAACCAGCCAGGATGGGGTCGCTTTTGAAAAGTTGGGGGTAGTAATTGGGGGGAATGAGAGTAATTTTCGAGACCCCAAAGCCTGGTGGCAGGACGGGTCTTGGTATGTGGTTATTGGGGCCCAAACCGCCGATGAACGAGGACAAGTTTCGCTCTATAGTTCCCCAGATTTCTTCAACTGGACGCCACAAGGGGTTTTGGCTCAAGCAGACCCGTCCTTGGGGTACATGTGGGAGTGTCCAGACTTTTTCTCCTTGGAAGGAAAGCAGGTTTTGGTGGTAAATCCCCAAGGCATCCAGAGCAAAGGAGAGGACTTCCAGAACCTGTTTCAGACTGGGTATTTCGTAGGGAGTTGGGCCCCAGGAGGAAATTTTGCTGTGGAAAGAGGCTTCAGGGAGTTGGATCACGGGCACGACTTCTACGCCTCTCAGACGTTTGAGGCGCCCGATGGAAGGAGACTGGAAATAGGCTGGTTGGGGATGTGGGAGTCCCAGTTCCCTGAAAACGCCTCAGGCTGGGCAGGGATGCTTTCCCTCCCCCGGGAGCTCACGCTCTCCGATCAGGGAGACTTGGAAGTGCGGCCCTTGCGGGAGATTCAAAGCCTACGCACTGAGCGCCTGGAGGTTCCTCAAACCCTCCACATAGCCCCTGGGGGAGGAGTGGCGATACTCCAAAACATCTCCCATAGTGAGGTGGCTTTGGACTTCAAACTGCACAACTCCAGCAGCAATTCATTCGCAATTCAGCTGACTAAGGAGAGTTTTGAAAGAGACGGAGGCGCTCAGGTGCATGTAGATCGCAACTGCAGCAGAGTTTTCCTGGAGCGCCACTATCCTGCCTACAATATAACGAGAAGCAGCAGGAGTGTAGCTGTAAACCTAACTGGCAATTTGTCTTTGGATATTTTCATCGATGGCTCTTCAATGGAAGTGTTTGTGAACGATGGCCAAGCGGTGATGAGCAGTAGAATTTACCCGGACGCTGAGCTCAGAACGTTTCTGATCACTGCTCAGAATGGCTCAGTGGCAGTAGATAGACTTAAAGTCTGGGACTTGTAGTTATCAATGATAAATGCTATTTAAACAGTTATGAAATTCATTCTTATCACTGATTTTTCAATTCTAGGTCAGATCGGCACGATTTTTGCGTAGATATTCAAGTATTTGAGAGAGGAGCGGACATACGATGCCTTGTGAATCGCTGGCAAACAACAAACAATTCAGTCAATTCAGTAATCAAACGTTGTTGAAAGGTGGTACTCGCGAACGCGTGCACTTCGGTACGATCGACATGTGGTTTGAAAATGGTGCGTGAAATTTGGTGCTTTTTTCGATTTTTTTTTGAAAAACTCAATGAAAGAATGCCTCAAAAATACTGATTCATATCGTGCCAAAGATACTATTTATAGGTACGTATTGAGCTTTAACAATTTTTTTAATAAATCAGTTAGATGCAGTAAATAGGTGTGGAAATGGGAAATTTCGATTTGGAGCTTGGGGGTCGATTTTTTATTTATTTTGCCCGAAAAGTCAGGTTTTATTGCTATTTATCAGGCTCTTTTTGGGGTTTCCTCAGTGGTTCAAGCTCTACATACATATTAATGCTCAAATCAAGGCCCTAAAGCTGAAATGCTGAGGAAATCGGTTTGAGGCTCAGTGGCCAATGAGTTGCTCCATTAGATGGCAAAGTTTCGACATAAACATCCATCATCAAGGATCTTAATTCAAGGCTCGAACAGCAAGTGGCGCAAAATTTGAAAAGGTGAAAACGGTTTCTTTGAAAATTATTTTCTGGGGAGCTTGTCTGGTTAGGGATTTGTAATTACTTGCGTTCATGCGAGGAAAAAATGTTCTTTAAGTGCAATTACCAGAATTTGAAATAACCCTCGGTCAAATGCCTTTAGATTAGCGTCCAAAGCTGCGGCAAGCTGTAGAGCAGAGGTTTGCACTCTTGCACATAAAAATTTATATGTTTGAAACCAATAGAGATAGAGCATCAAAAATCATTTTTTGTTTGTATAGAGAATCGAATGCTCTTCATGCTTTAAAACAGACATGCTTTCAATGAAAACGCAAGTAAAACATTTGCAAAATAAAATTAATGTTGAAAAGTTTACGTTAAAAACTCCTGTTTCTTTGACTCTTTTTGATAGAAAAATGCAAATATCTGTAATGAATAGTTTTAATGAAATTCTAACAGTTTGAATTAAATATAATCGTTAGTGACAAGGGATGCAAAAATTGTGAGGCGCAATCAAACTTTGCACGTCGATCGTTAAAAATTAATATCGTTAAAACCGCGAGGCTTTGCAACTTTATCTTTAAAAATTCGTATCTTCAAAGTTGTTGCTGATAGAGATTTTCGGGTCCTTTCACAGAATAGAGAATTGAATGACCTATCGAGGCGGATAGTTTTGGTTGTAAAACCCACATGGAACGTGCCGCAATTAATTGGGCAAAAACCAAGCCAAGTGAAAAGGCTTCTTCACAAAAATTAAAAGATATTGAAAAATGTCATTAAGAAGATGAATAAATAGTTGCGCTTGATAGGGCGAAAAAGGTTCTTTAAACTGCTTGAGTTTGAAATTGAGTTTGTCGTTTTCGGGTTTTTAACCACGTAAAAACGCCCGGTTTTGCAAGCATGTTGAAAAATTAATATTTCTGAAACTGTTAGGCATAGAGATTTACAAGTGTCTTCATCGGATAGAGAATCAAATGCGCAATAAATTCAATGTTATTTTGTTATGAATCCTGTAAGAAGGAAGCCAAGGCAGGCAAAAAATGCTTGAAAATTGCAATCTTTCCAGCAATGAAAACTATACAGGGTATTTGGTAAGTAGATGCATTCCTGGTAGGAGGTGATAGTGCTCGTAATTTTGGATATATTTCTTTAATAGACCATATTCCGAAAACTCTTAGCCTCCGATCTACAGCGTGTTAAAGTATTGATTAAAAACATAATATTTTTTCAATATTGCGGAAACTTCTTGGAATATTTTAACGAAATTTTATAGACTTAGGCAGCTAATAGCAATAAGCGTTTTGCGATAAAAATTTAGTTTTTTAAAATAAATATTATTTTTCAAGTTGCTGTTCAATTTGGAAGAGAAAAGGTCTCTTGACTTTTTTTCTACAACGCACCGTGTTTGAGTAAAAAAATTTAAATCGATTTACTGCCCCGTGTAATCGGGTTTTTATTTAAAAAGTTGACTCTGCACTAGTTATGGTCGCTGATTTAAAAAAATCAATAATTGCTATCATTTCGATTGTCTGAGTAACTTCTTTTTGCTTAATAAAATTGATACTAAGTGCACAATATTTGTTTTTATACTAAACCCTACTAAATTGTTAGCTAAACCCTAGCTATGCAATAAATCGATTTTAATTTATTAGTGGCGCTACATTTTTTAATTTCAAATTATCTACAGTCGTGTCTGTGGCCACGCCACTGGAAAAGCTAGAAACAAAATGTTTATCACAAAACATGTATTGTTGTTAAGAGCCTAAGCCTGTAAAATTTCGTTTAATTATTTAAAAGGTTTCCGCAATATTAAAAAGCAATTTTTTTCTATTAAAGCTTTATCACCTTGTATATCGAAAACTAAGCGTTTTCGGAACACGGTATATTAACGAAATATATCCAAAATTATTTGCTCTATCACCCCCTGCAAGTAATGCATCTACTTACCAAACACCCTATATAAAACAACACACAAATGCATAGAGGGATTATTTACACTACTAGAATTAGAATTAGAGATAATGGAAATTTACGTGCATTTAGAACAGACTCTAACTAATTGCGCAGATAAGAAAACAAAAAGTTCCAACAAAGGCACTTTTTGAAAATACGAGAGCTTTGTTGCAATTGAATAAAAAGAAGAATCATTTGTCAAAAATTTCTTAAAAAATTATTGATAGAAAGTTGCCTATTTTTCCATTTGGTAATGAACTAATGGTGTTTCGAACTTCGGTTCAAAGTCATCCTCAGGCCTTGATCCAAAAAGTGTCTTCAATTTGAAAAAAGCCCACGTTGATTTCAATCATGTCCAATCATGAAAAGTTCGATTCCTCGAATCAAAGCCGTAATTTTTTCTTTAGGTCACAGCCTATTAAGCATCTGATTAATTAAAAATTTGCGCTCGATTCCTTTGATTAACCTTTAAGCGAAATTGCCACATTTAAATAGCCGGTCACAGTTGGTAGTTTATCATGGACAAACATGTTGCATTGAGAGGTTGAACTACTGTTTTCGGTGTGCGATTATCGCTATTATAATTCACCAGAGGATCCGCATTATTATCATCGCGGCTTCAATCAGAAGGAAACGATTTATTGCCTAATGGCCCATTATGTACTAATTGTCTGGAATGGAACAAAACTGATTAAACTGATATGGAGGAGATATGAGTTTATTAGCTGATCTCACCAGGGATTTCGATACTTTTTCATTAATATTTCAATTATTTTATTGATACTCTACTGAATGTTCATCTACTTCACCTGAGTGTTCGAACACCAACTTTAGAACTTGGAAAATCTTCCAAGTCTGCAGAAAATGTGCTTGGCAAACCGACTTTGCCGAAGACAAGAGGAAAAGTAAACTTTTGCCATACATTTCTCAAAAAGTTTGGGCATTATAACTAGATTAATGAGCATCCACAAAACCTCCTAAAAGCATAAAAATTATACTGATTCTTATTGATTAAGCGCAATAAAACTCTGCTAAATGATTGGCAACATTTTTTTAATATCGAAAAACCCATAAATTGATTTAGCCGGTAAATTTTACGATTGCATGTGTAAATTATGGCATAACGATAAGCGAAATTCTTGCAAAACCGTCATACTTTTACATCCGCCAGACGATTGATTGTACCTGATTTTGGCAAAAATGTTCGCCCGTTGTTTGCGTTCTAAACTGCATTTTTCGTTGTTGATTCAAATGCAAATTCCCAAAAGACCACTCGCTGTGGCTTTGGGTGTCGTTGCACTTTTTGCCAGTTTAATTCAAAGCACTAAGCTGGTGAGTCCTTTTCAACCGATTAAATTTAATTTAAATGACTTCGAAAATTTTCGGTAAGTTGTTGTGTTGTTTAGCTGAAGACAAGCAAAACAAAGATCTCGATGACACCACGCGCTCGAATCTATGGAAATTTGTTATTCGTAGAACCTAAAAAAGCGCATCATCATTGCCATGAATTATAAAATAAATTAGTCAAAAACCCTCTTTATAAGAAAACAATTCAAAGTCCAGGAACTGGTGGCTGGTGGAAAAAAAATAATTTCTGCGACAGTTTAAGGCCCGAAAAACTTACCCAAAGTGCTGATAACTTTACTGATTGCAAAAAATGCTGACTTCCTACTGCTAGTGAAATGTGTCAAAAAAACAGCATGGATAATTATGCAAGATTTGTTAATTATCACCATTAATCAATTGGCAATTCAGGAAGTCCAGATTGAGACAAAATGCGTAAAATTCGAGTTTTAAATAAACGATTAGCATTGATTATGTGATTGCCTGACTCGTCGTCTATTAATTATGAAAATTGCGGTCGCCTGCTTAATTCAACACCGAAAAATTGCGCAGTTATGTCACATCTTTTTTCTTTTTTTGAAGAAAATAACAGATTTTAGGTGATCTTCCATCTTTTCCACACTGCACCAACAAGAAACGTTTGGTTATCTTTCGTTAACAAAGGGACTAATTAGATCGTTTAATTACTAAACCAACAAACTTATCAATGCTTTCATGTTCTTCATTTCAGTTCACTTTCAACTAGTGTTTGATATTGTAGTGATTTTACTTGGTAAGATTCGTTGGATGTTTTAAGAATTTTAGCGTTTTTTTAGTCCCTGTTTCGCTTATAACTTTGAATATTTGTCTTATTTTTACACATTTTGAGGACCTTCAAAATTTCAAAGTCCAAGGCTTGTTCAGTGCGTTTTTAATTAAACTACACAGTTTCGTACATTTTCAGAAAAATTATTGCTAATTTCTGTTCGATTGACGATCGAGGATCCCAACAAACCATTTTAAAACCTCCAGTTTTTAAAGCGTTAAAGGCCGTGTTGAGGCATCATTTGAGCCCGTTTTAATGCTTTTCCAGGTTTGATTTCTTGGCCCTTACAAGGATTTTACGAACATTTTTTTGAACTGGTGATTTCTCTTTCATTTTAGCATATCAAACGCCTTTTTCAGACAGCATTTACAGCCTTTGGAGGCCTGTTTTATGCGTTTTGAAGGTTTCAGTTTTTATCAACAAATTCGATGTTATTTGGGAGTATTTTTTTATTTTTTTTTGAGTAAATCAGTTGTTAATTGTGGTGCCTACAACAGATTTGGGGAAATTTTTGTTTTGACAACTTTCAATTTCTTCAAGATTTATTCTTTTTAAGGGAGTTTTGAGTGTTTAGTGCGGAACCAACCGGACGAAAACTTCAATTTATTCAGCTGCATTTGCAAAGCGGGCAAAAATCACATTTTAGACTTATTTCAATGGAAATATCAGGGTTTTTAAAGCCACGTTTCTTCTGTAGTATCAGCAAGGTTAGAGTTTCTGCCGTTGTTGAATCGAAATTTACGAATTTTTATAGATGAGCGTGCAGTTAAATAAAAAAAAAATTTTTTTCAGCTCAGCTTACAGAGCGGGCTAAAATCAAATGGTATTGCGATGTAAATGGAACTTTTATGATTTTTTGAGCCGAGTGTCTGCTATACGGTGTCCACGTTTCAAGCTTCCACCAGCTCTGAATGGGAAGTTATAAATTTTTAAATAAAAGTGTGCTGTAGGGCGAAATTCCCATTTTTTCAGCAGCGTTTGCATCGTGGCGAATAACACAATTTTAGTGTAATTTCAGTGAAAGTATCAGAGCGTTCATGATGTTTTATAGTTTTTTTTTATGAAAATACCAAGGTTTTTAGAGTCGAGTATCATTTGTAGTATCTGCAAGGTTCAAGTAAGATATTCGCTCTGCATCAAAAGTTACAATTTTTTACAGATGAGCTTGCAGTTGAGCGAAAACCTTCCTTTCTTCAGCTGCACAAAAATAAAATTTTACTGCGATTCAAATGAAACTTTCAGAATATTAAGGGGCGAATATCAGCTATAGGGTGTCCGAATGCCAAATTGCCAACTGCTTTGAATATGAAGTTGCAATTTTTTAAATAAAAGCGCGCACTTGGTGGAAAACTCCCATTTCTTCAGCTTCGTTTGCAAAGCACGCAAAAATTACGCTCGAGGGTAATTTTTGAGGTATTTTGGATAAGTTAAACTGATGGCGCTAAAACGCGATTGAAGAAGTTTGAGGGCATGTTATGGGTCATTTGTACCTTTTTTGAGAATAAGAACAAAGAAGAAATTGCACATGGATAAAAAACAATCTGAAAACAGTTGAGAAGACCTTATAAAAAGCTTTAGGGCAGTTTCGAGGTTGGAATTACTTTTAAAAGGTTTTTCTGCAGGGAAGAATTATTTTAGAAAAATGTTTGTTTTTTGCCAAAGCTTGAAAGAAGTAACTAAAACCACCCAATTGCAAATTGAGGCGATATTAAAGCCAATTTCATATATTGSAGACGGTTGGAAGCTCTTTGAATAATTTTTTAAAGATAGACGCGTTTCAGGATTTTTAGGGGCTTTTTCAAATATATTCTTTTTAAAGCTTTAGCTTCTGATTCGCGACTTGTTGAAGCCAATTGGTTGTTTACATTGAAGTTATTCGTACSCTTGTTTTGAGGATTTTGGGTTACATTTCCGCGTTTCAAAACTTATTTTATCGCAATTTTTTGGTCTCCACTAATTTTGAAATGATTTGGGGTCACTACGCGTAAAATTGACGATCTAGCGCCAACAAATCAGCATCGCAGTATGCATTCAGACATCTTTTTTAAATTTGCGTCGCATTAGTGGCTGATTTGTTCGAGATTCAGACTAAAGAAAAAATCTTGCTGCAGGTTTGGACTGGAATAGAGATTCTCTCAACATTTCCGGATTAGTGAGACATTTTCTATTTAATTCGTTTCATGTATAATTCTTATTTGATAACAGTAAACGACGACTGCCAAACGCATAAATCCAGATCTATATTTATTTGCAAGGTTTTTGAACTGGGAAAATTGGGGATTCAATGTAGGAGAGCCTTGAAAAATGCGAAAAATAGCGTCAAGATGATTTTGCCAGGTCAGAAGCTGGAAAGCGGTAGTTTTAGGCAAATCGCAGCCGACTGCAATAAAAAAACATCAATAACAAAAGCGCCGATTAACTAAATGAAAAGTTTCCGGTCAATTTCCTCTAGTCCAGCGGTAACATTCGCTTAATAGCCACAACGAATGGCAATTTTGTCGGTTTGGCTCAACAAATATGCCGACGAAAATACGATGATTGCTGCTTCAAAAACTGTCATTCGAACCTTCACATTGAGACTTTTCTGCTAAACTCTGCTGCTGAAAACAGCCCGCATCTTTTTATCGTTACTGCTAATATGATTCTTATGGCTTTTCACCAACTTTCACCGCAATAAGACGCCAGTCTTCAAGGTAGATGTAGGCTAATATTAAAAACGTTTATTGAAAAAAAAAGTGAGTTCTAAAGCGAACAACAGTAGCTTTATCGGGTTTGCTGCTTCATTATCAGACTGTTAATTAACCCTTCTTATCTGCCCCAGTTGGCTTTCTACAGCAGAAACAGTGCAGTTTTCTTTAACATTATAGTCCCGGTGTTTTTCAGCTGGAGGAAAAATGCCAGTCAAAGAATTCATCAGGAAACTGAAGCCAGTTCAACTGTATGTTGTGCTGGCATTGACCGTGTTGTTCTTTGCGATCGAACTGGTTTTCAGTCACCTCACCCATGCACTGACCCTGCTGATGGACTCTTACCACATGCTTTGCAACATTTTGGCTTTGGCCGGCTGTATTACCACGATCAAGGTAAGTCGACCTTACCACGTCCAATGCAACGGGTTTTAACCTTTGAAATCCTTTTTATCAAACCAAGTGCGCTCTTTGCCGCACGAACTCCATATTTCGTCCCCTCGACGAGTTTTTGAGTAAGTGAGCATCTAAACATGTAAATTCCCAGATGCATAAGACTTACTCTTCTTTCCTCACTTGTTGCATAAGGAGTTACGTAAAGGATTGTTGTTATCCAATGCATAAAGAGAAAATTAGGTTTTTGGGACATTGATTGAATTAATTAGGCGCGCATGTTGATCATCTCAGCCACTTTTATTAGGCAAACAGTCGATAATGTGGCTGTTATCGGTTGGCATTGTTTAAAGCCAACTTTTTGACTTGGTGCGATAATAGTTCTGTTAATTAAACGCTTATTTTTGATAATTTTGAAAAAATTGCCTTGTAAGGTTTCAAAAAAATATACTGGGTGTCGATTTTTGCATATTTGGGGTCATTACTAGCGATTTTTTTAAGTTGGCACGTTCTTTAAAAAAGTTACCGGTGTTCTCAACTGTTTATTGCCAAAAATAATGCGCCAATCGTGAGTAGATCTAGACGTAAAAATGATTAATTCAGACCCCATTTGGGTGCTTCAAAAGCAGGTTTTTTCAATGAATGAAAATTTGAAATGTAATCAAACCAGTTAAAATTGCACGTTAAACTGATGTTGATGATGATTTATTGGAAAGCAACAGATTTTCCAAATTAGTCGCAAGCAAAAATTCCCATCAAACCCTTTAAAGCGGAATTTTTCTCTGGAAATACTGAACAATTGGCCATTAAACACTTTTTTAGTGCTCAAAACTAGGCCTGGGTAACTCAGTGAATTTTTAGGAGTTGGCCCAGTGCCACGCAAATAGCTTGGTGCGCCAATCCAACGCACCGGCGCAGTAACTCAGTTCCGTTGCTGGTAAAAAGCTGATGACATTTTTTACCAGTTTTTAGATTTATTTTAAGGGCCATTTATTAATCATGTTTTTAAAATTTCTTCAAAATTTCGGAATTTTCCAGTTTTAGCCAAGTTACTCTTACTTCTAAATGTTCAATTCTCAATTCTAAAAATGCTGATAAACTTAAAGTATTTTTCGCGAAAAATTATGAAAAAAATTTCGAATCTTTGGTCGTTTTGTAAAAAGTTTTAAAATCCTTTTCCACCGTCGAATTTGGAACAAAAATCAAACAATTTTCTATCAGAAAACGAACAGAAAAAGCAAATTTTTATAACAGATTATTTGGAAATCTCGTCACCTCCATTCCTTTGAAGACTGTAGAGTTTGTTAAAAAAAATTGTTTTTTTATAGTTTTGACTGATTTTTTTTGCTTTACTTTCTACGCAAAAACGCTCTATTTTGTAGAGTTTCACTTAAAAATACTGACGATCTGGAGGTTTTTGCCCGAACAATAACAAGATAAATTTACAGCTTCGTTAAAATTTTACAAAAGTTTTTCAGTCTCGAATTCGAGACAAAAATGAAACTAAATTCCTCCCGTTTTTTTCCCGAAAACCATTAAGGTATCCATTTCTCCTAAAACGCCAAAAAGCATTATGACAAAATTAATTTTGCTAGAAAATTCGCCTCATTCATCGGTTTGTAGGGAACTTTAGAAAACCTGCAGCTTCGAATTTGGCACAGAAACCAAATAATTTAATTCAGTTTTTTATCGAAAGTAATTGAAGATTATCTTGAAAAATTCGCCGCCTTCATCGCTCTAAATATTTGTAGTTCCTTTAAATTTTCAGGTCATTCCAGTTTTATCAAAGTTTTAATTTTAAGTTTTTAAGTTTAATTTTAAGCAACCAATTGTTTCTACGCAAAAATCGCATTGTTTTTTAGTTTTACTTAAAATACTGACAATCTTCAGGTATTTTCTGTGAAAAATTATAAGATACATTTTATTGGAACACTCGTCTCCTTTTGGAACAACAAATTTTTGGAAAACTTTGCAGCTTCGAATTATGAACAAAACCGTAATAATTAATTATGGGTCTTTTTTCAAAAATATTTTCCTCAACTGAAAAAGCGAAAGTTTATAATCATTTATTTGGAAAACTCTTGGAAACTGGGGTTTATTCACTTTCAGGTCAATTTTCCTAAACAACACCGTCTCTAAACAGAAAAGCCGCGTTTTTCTTAACGTTTTACTGTAAAATACTCGCAAACTGAATCTTTTATGCAAAAAAATTAAGAGGTTGATTTTACATGAAAACTCGTGGACTTTCTTTGGACTGGGGTTCTGTTGCTTGGACAATCTAGAAGGTTTTTTAAAGTTATTTGAACAAAGTAGTAAAACGTTACTAAAAAAAAATGTTGATGGCCTTTTTTTTAAATGTGAAAATTCCAGTCGCGGGTCTCGTAAAGCTTTAATAAATGACTTAGAACTCATTAACCGATGAGTCATAACTCGTTAGCTCAGAGAGCGGCAACAACTCAATAGGGCGACTCAACACAGTGTTACCCAGGCCTTATCAAAACCTTCGAGAATTGAGCAAAAACACTTCAAGTGAGTTTTGTTGACGCCGATTTACAGCCGCAAATAAAAATTTGATGAGTTTGGTTGCAAACAAACCCCTAAAATGCTCATATAAAATATCCTAACATTGATTAGAATGAATTAAAAGCGAAAATAAGGTAAAAAGAAAAGGTGAAAACCGCAAAATAAAAAACCATTGGTTTAAGTTGAGATAAATCGCATCAAAAAAACCGAAGAAACTCCTCAAACAGGACAAACATGAAAATTATCACGTTTATAAATCGCGTTAAACAAAAATCCGCGAAAAAGTATAGTTGATTTTGAGACTGAAAAATTTGGAGATTTTCCGAAAGTAGGTTAACAACATGCTCATAAAAATCACTTCACACTCACACACAAAACCTACTCTTGATTATATAGATAAACCAGTTTTTTATCTTGAAATTCGGGGAAATTTACCGTCAAACTGGGGCAACCCATACATTTTCCAATGTTTTCTCTTGCTGGAATTTTATTGTCGTTTGTTCTAAAACAAAAAAAATAACAAAAGCCATCAATGTGCATTGTTTTGAACAATTCCGCGCAGTTTTCTCATTAATATTTGCTTCCAAACGCCGCCTTCGCTGAAAGAGGCCGATCGAATTAAAATGCAGGCTCACAATGAGATTACGTGAATCATTTTTTCCGATATTAATTAATTAGCATACGTTGCCCATTCGTCAATTGCCTTCAGGCTTTACATAATAGTGGAAATCGTCTGGTGCATGGAATGCATTCTTGATCGGTTTGCAGTACGAGAGCCAAAACCCGGAACCCGAACCCAAGGAGGCGATCACATTGAAAACCGAATGTCAGGATCAAAAGAACAAAAAAGTCCATCAAGCTGAGAGCAAGCGGGAGAAGAGGCTGAGGAACACGTTTGGCTGGACTCGGATCGACGTTATCACCACGCTCATTTGCTGCGTTTTTCTCGCCTCGTTCTCCTTCTCCATCTACGTGGAGGCTTTCCAAACCTTAGTCCACATTGATCATCAGGATGCCATGCATCAGCCAATATCAGCTCTATGCGTTGGTAAGTTCCAAGTTAAACTCCACAGTTCCAGTTTTTCTTAACTTTCCTCTACCTCTGCAGGTGTAGCAGGTTTGCTGCTGAATGGGCTCTGCTATTTGCTGATTGGCGGCTACACGTACCATCAAGGCAGCTTCCTCTATGTGACTGAAAGTGGGGACGTGGTGCTTAGCAAAGTGGTGGTAATCGACTCGGCCACTAAAGGCGGCAGGAAACTATCCAGAATAGGGCAGGCCCTTTCCACGCCTCCCAAAAAACGGCAAGGCCTTTGGGAAATCTCTCGAGACATCTGCTGTAAGCTTTGATGACTGGACTTTTCCGGGCCTTAATCGAAATCGTTCCAGGCTGCGCTCTGGTCATCGTCTGCTCCATAGTGGTGATGTTTGTGGACTCGTACACAGCCAAATACATCGATCCGGCAATGTCGCTCCTGTCGGCCACTTGCATCATGTTCCTCAGCTACCCTTACAGTAAGTTCCAACGCGCCTTCATTTACCTCAGCATTAATTGGGCGCTTTCCAGTTAAGGAAAGCTGCATGATTTTGTTGCAGACCATCCCAGTCACCACGGACATCGAGGCGATGGAGAAGGAGCTGGTGAAGCACTTTCCAGACATCATCAACGTGCACGATTTCCACATCTGGCAGCTGACTGCCTCCAAAGTCATCTCCACCGTGCATATCATCTTCGAGAACCCTAAGGTTTGTGCAAAAAGGACATAGTTGATTTAACACAAAAAAATATTGGCTCCGTTGAATTCCACCTGCAGGTCTACCGCAACATCATGAAGGAGATCAGGGAGTTTTTCCTGGAAAACGGAGTCACCCAGGTGACGATTCAGCCGGAGTTTTTCCACCCCAGCGCCAGCATGGAGAGTCTTTCTTCCGCTAACCTTCCCCCGACCTGCCTGGTTGCATGCCAAGGCGAGGAGTGCAAGCTGCACCACTGCTGCCCCAACTATAAAGTGCGTAGCCTCGTTTTTCACTCAACAATCAGGGAATTGAGTGCGAGTTGCTTTGCAGGAACTGAGCAAGTTCAAGTCGCCGTCCAAGGAGACGATTTCGAAGCTGGAACCGGGAACCCCCACTTTGAAGTCGGTGCAAAAACTCGATGTCGAGCTGATGCCTGGCAGCTGTTCGAGTCTGAGCAAAAGCGATGCTGATGGATCATCACGGACGACGCCTCAGGAGGGAGGAAGCGCCGTCTGATTTTAGACAAGACCAAGAGAGTGCCGTTGCTCAACTAAGCCTTTTACCATAAACCATTAACTACCTATCTGTGATTGACTAAGAATATTTTACGTTATTTATAAGACTATTCATCAAAGAAAGTGAGTGGTTTTTTCTTTCCACGAAAACCAAAAAGGTCCCCAAAAAAAACTTTATTCAGGAAATCGACCAAATTAACTGGTTTTCTATACCTACAACCTAAATACACTTAAGATTACTCTTGCTTCTGTCCAGTTATCTGAGTGGCGCCCATTCGGGCCGGGTCTTGGCTCGGGTAATGTACAGTAGTTTTCGGCGGCGGCACGCTGAGGTCGCCCAGGGCGGCAGTTGCTGTGGAAGCTGCGCTGCTGACTACCGAAGGCGCAAATGGAGGCAGTTGGGGCGGGCCGTGGTTGAACAAAAAGGGTGGCAGCGGAGGCGGGCCGAACATGGGCGGCACCATAAGGGAGGGCGGCGGCGGCATGGCGGGCAGCGGAATGTGGCCGGGTTCCAAGTTGAAGAAGTTGTTGCTTAACTCGGGTAATGCCCCTGGTAGGCCTGGAACGGCCGGGTAAATTTCTTCGACGTGTTGTTGGGACGATCCTGTGCGTCCTGCGGGACGTCGAAAACGTGAACAAATAAACAAACTAAACAGTTTAGATTCACACAACAATTACCTTGAGACCTTCCCCATTTAATCGTGAGCCTCCTTCCGCCTAGAATCAGCTTGTTAAAAGTCTTCTCAGCGGCAGTTTCAGCGGCAGATCGAGTGGTGAACTGTACAAAGGCGCATTGTTGTTTGGGCACCAAGCTGACGGACCGAATTTCCCCATACTGGTAGAAATGATCCCTGATATCCCCTTCTGTCAGCACGCCCAAGTTACCCAAGTATAGGGTGGTGATGGTTTTGTCATCGGGCGGCTCCAAAGTGGGCATCGCTGCAGCCCTTTTCAGCAGCTTATCGGCTACGGGGTCGTTCACACCGTAATAGCGATCTTTGATGTTCTGGTCAGCCAATGGGTCATCTGGGTCAGTGGGTTTTTCGTGTCTGTAGGGACATTCTTCGCCTGCAAGCAAACATGGTTGATATTAGCAACACTTTGGCTTAATTTGGGGATGAAAACTTACCCCTGCGGCACTCTCCCTTCACCCAAAAGGAGCAGACATGCGGGCGATTTCTCTTGTAGTAGGGCGCAGTTCTGGCAAGCCGGATGAGCAAATCATTTGGCTCATTCAGCTTGGCGTTCATGGAACTGGCGTCCGATCTGGCCAGCTGCAAGAAATGCCCATTATTCAAGCAAACAACCCCGACAAAGCCGTTTAAACGTTGCTTACGTCTCTCTCCATGTTCTGGATGTAAAACTCCTTGTTGACATCGCTTTTCGGCAGGTCGTCCTTCAGCTTAAGGGCGGCGTCTCGCACTTGGATGGGCAGCCCATATTCTAGATCCAACAAACAGGTTTGGCAGACGTTTTTCAACTTGCTGCACGTCTGGCAGACCTCCGTTTTCTTGAACCGCATTCTAGCGCCTTAAATTGGGGAAATTAGACTGGTTTATGGGCTAAGGTTTGCGGGATTTTCACCTGGACACCACCTGAACACTGTGAAGGGCCTGGAGCAGATTTTGCATTCCTTGCCGTACTTCTCCTTAGTCATGCGAATGTACGGGTTGTCCCCCAGGCAGGTTTGGCACAAAATGGGAAAGTCCTTTAATCGAAAAACGAGAATAATGCCCCATAAAGTATGCGTGGTGACAGTGAACTCACAGCGTCCTCCCAGTTTTGCCTGTTGTAGGTGTTGGTGGTTTTAGAGGTGGCCATGGTAGGCCCACAACTTCACAGCTAGTTTAAGAAGGTTTTCTTACACTTGAATATACTCTGGGAAGGAAAACATAAAGCCAAGCACCCACTAGAGTTAACCTAGAAGGCTAGAAAGCACAAAATATCCCCCTGGGGGTATGTTCTGTGCTAGAAGGTTTTGACGTTGGTTGTCAACCAGAGACAAGGAATTTCTCTCTTCTTTCGCTCGGTTGGTCGAGAACTTTGGGAGTGGCCCAGTTCAACTATATAAATAAACTGGCTCAATTAATTTTACTAATATTAAAGCATATTTTACTGTTTTTAAATTGGTTTGAAGCTACGCTGCATGTGTATTAAATGAATTGAGATAACATCCTAAACTGGGATAAATGAAAAATATTTATTAAATATCCAGGCCCAAGCGACATTGCCAAAGTTCCCAAAAACTGACGGCTAGTTTTTGAAAGCCAGGTTAAAATTAGCCAGTCTCAAAAGGGGCCCCTTTTATTAGTGCTAGTGTTTTTGTGCCTGTGCATTCACTCCAGTGCAGCCCCTGTTGCCTCCAATAGCTTGCCTCTACTTGATACGCAGGGTAAGTTTTTCTATATCAGCACAAGAAGTTCTCCTACATCTTAGATGCAAGTGAAGCAATGGGGCTCTGATGTGCGTATATTTATTTAGCCATAAGCTACTAGTTGTTGCTCTAGTCATTGCCCATTAGTCGCTTACCGGAAAGTAACGCTGGCAAAACTGTCTCAACTTTTTGGGGCCATCGCAGTGCCTGCAAACAGCGCCATTTATTAGCATTATTCCGATGAGAATTCGCGAAAATATACTTGCGTTGAAAGGGGCTCGAGCTAGACCAGGAACGATTTGTCTTTATACGGGGCATGCCGCCTGCTGGCCTTAAAATCGAGCAAATACTTGCACAAACAGTAGAACAGAGTTAAAATGACGAAAAAGACCATCAACATGTCATGAATTGTGCGGATAAGCCACTGGAAAATCCCTAGGGATTTTCGGGACAGCGCCAATGCCAAAGAGAGGGAAATTTGAATGTGTCTGGAATGACCAGAGGATGAAGAACTGTGAGGTAGTTATTATGGCGCAAAAGTGTTCATTGCTAAATCAGTTTTCTCTACATAAACCTACTGGCTGTGTGTTTTATTTATTCAAATTTAAATTTTTGTTCCTATCACTTGCTCCTAAGTTTCGGCTGTACAATTCCCAAAGATTTCCGTTCAAAAGCGAAAAAATCCACTCAACAATTTGCCTGATACTGGCCCTGACCAGGCCTGATCTACCCTATTCTTTTTCAAATTTTATTGGTTGCATAATGTGGCTGTTTTTCCTACACCATAATATAGCTTTGTATTATAAGTATGTATAGCCATATAAGCCTTGTTATATGTCCTACACTCGTAATGTCAATAACAGGTTTAAAGGCACCCACTTCATCTCGGTGAAATGTGAAAGCGCCCAACAGTATTAACTGGTATTAACAAATGAAGAAAGACCAAAGCTGGTCATGTAACCGACGGTGGTACCGACCGGGTTTCATAGGCGTTTCCTCTGGGGTTTTTGCAATATACTGCAGATGAATTTCGCTTGTTTCGATGCGAAAATCGAGTTGAAAAAGCTCCTTAATTGCAGCTTTATTTGGGTATTTGATTTGGAAATCGAATTGAAATGCACTGTGTTAGAGGGTGCGTAAATAATTGCATTTGCAGGGCGATTTTTTCGGGGGAGAATATGGAGGAACAAGGCAAAAGCTAGAACTTGCACTGGTGAGACAGAGAGCAGAGATCATAAGGCGCACACTATTCCGCTTTTTCGCTCACGCATGTTTTATAGCTTTGGCCTTGTTCCACACAGGTATAATCATTTTCCGGTTTTAATTGGAAAATTGTTGACGTTTTTAAATTGGAATTTGAATTCATTGTTGCGTATTTTTCCCTTGCCAATAATTTGCAGTTTTCTCCGCACCTTTTGGGTTTTTTCAGTCTATTTGTACTCTAAATGAGTGACTAATGATCAACTACCCCATTTTGAATAAGCAATTTTAAATAATTTACGCTTTAAATGGGTAAACTGCGGCACTGTGTCGCACCTAAACGGTTCCGGCTATATCAAAGCACTGGCGAGCGTTTAAAAAAATTCTTGGTGGTACTCTTATAATATAGAAACGGCGTTGCGAGTGGAAATTTCACTCGTTTGCTCCGATGCATTTGCTTGTTTCCGCAAATTGGTACTAAACAATTGGTCAATATTATTGATTGATTTCACCCGCAGTTTATTTGTTTCGAATCGACCCGGTGAACATGAGCAAGGTAAGTGCAATTTTTTGTGTTTTGTTCATTATTATCAACTAAAGGGACTTTTGCCCATGTTTAAAGGTAGTTTAATGGCCAGTTTAGTGCAAAAAGCGCAAACTTCCGAATAATTTTTAAACCAAACGCCGACCCTGGCTCAGAACAACAACTTTTACTTTCTAACGCCCATGCTGGTCTAAAGTAGATGAATTACTTAACATTCATATGACCGAAAAAGTGTTATTTGTGTAAGTTTTTCCATAGATGTCTTTTTGAGTTAAGTTTTGATTTTTTTAAATTTTACGCGAACACTTTTTCCACTGTAACTTTACCTGGAAGTTGAATAGTGTTTTGATTATTACCAGGTGCTTGTCTACATTCTGGATAAAGCCGTCTGGCTGCTTCTGGTCACTGTGATAACAGGCCAGGCGCTTCAGATCACCGGCTTTATGGAAACGCCTAAAAGTGCAGGAGCGTTCGAATATCAACAAGTAAGTTTCTTCGGAAAAAAACGCCGTTTAAATCGTGACAACTTCAAGCACCCCCTTTGGATCGTTCTCGATTGCCTTCAGAATCTTTTGGTCACGAAAATCGCAGTTTTTTTACATTTAGAGCTGCTGATCGAAGCTTGATTTTTTGCAACTGAAAACCCGGCTTTAAGAAAATTATCTAAACGGACTGGAATTTCTTTGTTGGTTGTTTCTTTTAAGTAAGTTTTTCGTTTTTACAAAACGTTTTTTCCCGTTAAACCTTCTCCAACATCATTGGAAAAATTTTAAAAATTGATTGATTGCTAGTCGAAACTCGTAACTCTTAAACGGCTGGTAAAAACGATGAATTTTCTGCTAAAAATCAGAAATAATCTTGATTGGTTTTTCTGAGTCCTGGGGAGTGCTTGTGAGTGTCAACTTCGACTAGCTCTTCACTGATTGATTACGCCCCCTGTTGCGCAGAACCCTTTGGAAAGCCTTTCTGAGCACCCGAAAGATGCTCTGAGGTGGAAAAGGGAGGCGGACGACACAACCGAGCGTTCGCAATTCATTGACATGCTCTTCAATGTAAGTATTCACATTTTGGCACAGATAGACAGTATGTTAAGGGGCCGGTGGCATCAAAATTGGCAGCCGATTAAACCACCGCATGGCTATTTTTGCTGATCAGTCACTTTCGGGATGGTTTTAGGTACGTAACATTAGTAGGTTTTGCTCAACCCAACTTGTTTCTGGTTTAATCATGTCCCGACAACAGCCAAAGAAACACCTGAAACCTTGAAAACCTAACTCTAAGCAGATAAATCGGGGTTTTCTTTGGTTGCATCCAAATTTTCTGGTTCCGTCACGGTTTAACCTGCTGTTGCAGATCCCCATCAAAACTCTAACTGCTGTTAAAAACCTGATCCAGAACTCCCGGCCAGCTCTTCGTAAATTGCGCGACTTTGCGGTGAAACGTTTCGAAAAAACCACCAAAGCGCCTGAAGCTGATCAGAGCACTGTTCAGAAACGCTCGCCTGTGTTCATCAGGGAAGTGAGCAATAAACAGTAACTGCAAGCATTTATGTGTGCGTGGAACAAGGCAAAAGCTCAAAGTGAGCGTGAGGAACAGAGAGACGCTAGGCGACTGATTGTGTCTCATCTCGATCCGCGCTAGTACTGCTTTTGCCTGCTCTCACACATTGCTGATTCAATCCATGCCATGTACGGAGTAAGACTGGAATTTTTTACTAGATTTTTATTATTAGAAGTTTAATTTTGAAGTATTACTAGCATTAAACGTTGTAAATAATAAACATAAATATATTTGTTGAGTAAATGTTTTTAAACCATGCCCTACAGGCGCGCGGTTTGGGCTGCCGAAGCCTAAACAAATGAAGCTTAAAACGGGCTAAATCGTACAGCTGGGATCCTCTTGCACATCGGTTCTTCTGCTGCACAGGCAGCTTTTGCTGCCTTTGCCATCCGGCAGGCAAATGTGCTCATCCGGACATCGCGAGTGTTGACAAAGATTCGTCAAGTTGGGGCACCGATTTGGTACCGCCACCAACCCAAACAGCTTATTGCCCGAACCACCAGCAGGAATATTCAAAGACGGCAGACGGGCGAGAGTGAATTTATCCACCCGTTCGATTTTTTTCCTGCAAGGTTCGGTTTTGGTAACCCGGTTGAGGTTCAAGCTTTTGGCTACTTACGATATCCAGTCTGACCAGTAGACCAGCCGATCAGTGACGGTGATTCCGAAGGGATAAGTGCAGTTGATGGCTATGGTCTGCACTTGTCTGGTGTCGATCTGGACGCATTCAATCTTCTTGGTGCCGGCATCTGAGTAGCAGAGCTGATCGGTGTCGTAGTCAATGGCCAGAGCGTTTGGGAGCGAAACATCTGGACCATCCAGGAAAATTCTGCGGTCGGAACCATCCGCATTTGACCACTCGATTTTGGGATACCTGCGGTCCCAGTCCGACCAGAAGAGTTTGCCTCTTTGTAGATGAACGGCGATACCTTTTGAAGGGTTTTATCGAGCTTTGATGAGTTGGGAACTAGTGAAGATTTTGTTTACCTCGAGGGTTCACCAGGCCAGTCTTGAACAGCTCCCTGCGCCTTTTTGAGTCCAGATTGGCCACCTCGATGGTTCTGGACGTGGAATCCGTCCAGTAGATGTTCCTGGAAACCCAGTCGACTGCCAGGCCTTCGGGCGAGTGGATTCCTTCTGCAAACACCAGTTGCAGGCTGGATTAAAAAAACTGCCAACTCACCCGCAAGAAAGTCCTTGTTGTCGCTGCCATTGTAGGAGGAACTTCTGATGGCGTGCAGACTGATGTCGCTCCAGTAAACTCGACCTTCCATACAGTCAATGTCCAGGCCGACTGCTGTCTGGTAGGTTTTGATCTGGATAGGCTTGCCTGGGTTCATCCTGGTGGCTTCGATCGGGATTTTGTGCGTCGCCCATCCTGAGAGCACAAAACGCTTCTGAAGTGAACAGGCTGAAAATGGCCCTACCTTGGTTGAGCAGCAGGAAGTTGCCGTCGCTTCTGGACACCTCCCGGCATATGGACCCATCCCCGACAAATCCAAGGTTGCACTGGCAGTAGTAGCTCCTTCCTGCATCTGTTAGGCATTGGGCGTTGGGATCGCACATGGTACGGTCCACTAGACAGTTCTTCTCCACGGAGCACTGGAACCCATCGCCGAAGAACCCGTGGTTGCACCTGCACATGTACATCTGGGCCTCTTCCTCGTAGCGGCAGGTTGCGTGGAGGCCGCAGTTGTTCAGAGTGTCGCACCCGATGGGTCTTTCCCTGCACTCGGTGATTCCTGCGGAAATTGCTCTTTAGCTCTAATCGTTTAGCCGGTTTCGTCCTGGTACCATCCCCTATGAAGCCGTCCTTGCAGGTGCAGTAGTAGGTCTGGTAGTCCTCGTCGAAGACACACTCGGCGTTGCTCACGCAGGTTCCACCTGCAATATTCCTCAGTTAATTCCTGTGGAGTTTGAAAGAACTTTCAAACTTCTGGTACCTCCACATGATCCATCGGTAGGCACGCAGATGTGCTGCGAGTCTCTTACGTGTCCCTCCCTGCAAACGCACTCGTTTCGGCCGTTTTGGTAGGCGCACTCTTCAGTCTGGGTGCAGTCGGAGTGCGAGCTGCAGCTGGCCGAGGAGGAGCAGCTGTAGCCGTTTCCAGCAAACCCGGGCTTACAGACGCAGATGGATTTTCCGATGCTGTCGTAGTAGGTGCAGGAGGCGTTGGCGTGGCAGCTTTCCTGCTCGTTGCAGGACTGTTGTTCTTCGTGGCAAGTGAAACCGTCGCCTGCAATCAGCGGAGGGTCAAGTCTTCTGTTGTAAAGTTGAATTGAATCGATGGGAAAACTGAGTTTTTACGTTCAAACTTGCAAACTGCTTGTTGAGTGGCCAAGTGCTCAAGACACTTTTAGAGTTGATTAGATCTGATCCACTCACCTTCATAGCCCTCATTGCACGTGCAGACGTGTGCTTGCAGAACCGTACTGAAGTCACATCGGGCATTGAAGTCGCAGTTTTGCTGGTTTCGGCAGTCATCTAAAAACGATCATCAGACACACACTGAGTGCCAGCTTCCGCCCTGCTTACGCTTGATTGGACTGAAGCCTTTGACACCGTTCGCCAATTTACCGGGTGGCTGATTAACCGCACAAGTTTTGCGACTTTCCGAATAAGCGTAGCCGAAGGGGCAAAAGCAAAGGCTGGCATTATAACATTGCACTTCCGGCTCGTCTTCTTCCGAGTCCAGAAGCCAGATGCGGCTAGTTTTGCTCTTACCTGCATACGAAGGCTGCTTGCTTTCCGTGTAGGGCTTGCAGGACGCTTCTTCGTCCATCACAAAACCTTCCGGGCAGTAGCAGTAGTCCGACTGGCAAATGGGCCTCACTGATCCTGCAACCACTTTTTAACGACTCAGTAGAGTAGGTTCTTCTAGTAATTGTTTGGACATGCCTACCTGTGGTGAGTTCTTTGGGGGCTTCAGTGGAAGTGACTGGAATGGGAATGCATTGATAGCCATCGCCCTCAAAGCCTGGATGGCAGGAGCAGGAGTATTCTTCGCTCCCAGGGTAGATGCTGCAGATCGCATACGGTGAGCAATTGTTGGAAACATCGCAGCCTTGATTGGGCACCGGCTGGCAGTTGTAGCCGTCCCCTGGAAAACTGGATTTGGATGCCAATCAAACAAAGATCTGCTGGGGCTTGCCTCGAAAGCCTGGCAAGCATCTGCAGCTGGCTTCGCTGCCATTTTCCACACATTCAGCGTCTTGAGTGCAGCTGATGTTGGCGCAGGAGCTGACTGGATCGCAGCGCCTTCCATCCCCTTCAAAGCCTGGATTGCAGGAACAGCCATAGCTCCCTACAGTACAACAAAAGCTAATGAAGCTCCTCTCTTTGCGAATGGAGAAAACCGCATTTACCCACAGTGTTGAAACACTGAGCGTGACGGTCGCATTCGTGATTGGTCTGGCACTCGTTCACATCAGCGCATACTTGTTCTTCTGCTGAGTAGATTCTTTGATAACCAGGGTTGCAGATGCAGTCAAAAAAGCTTCCATCCACCACACAAGCGCTGTTTGGCCCGCAAGTCTGCCTGCCCTCAATGCATGGGTCATAATCTGAAATCGAGTTGCTCACATCCCTCCCGTCCTCTTATGAGATTAGTGAGGAACTGACCTCCAATGGGCGTGATCTTGTTGCTGATCCCAAACCGGATAATCTGTTCCCTGCTCTCGTAGCTGATGAAGTTCCTGCCCACTTTCAACGTCCAGCTTTCCCCAATAGTTTCGTTCTCGAACGGGCAGCTGTTGAACTTGAATGTTTGCTCCACTCGGAAGACGTTGGTGATTTCTCTGCCATCAGCCGCATTGAAGATATACGGGCGTTCGGAAGTCATCTGGATCAGCCCTTTTCCGGTTTGAGTGTACTGTTCTTGGTACTCATCAATCACCACCTTTGGAGCAGATTTAAGGAAGAGAGTAAGAAAAAGCTTGAGAAGTTGAACTTCTGGGGCTCACACGTTCGGAAACTGCTTAAATATTAGTTTAAACTCCAATTGGACAGAACTTTTTGCTAGTTGTAGCTATTTGTTCTGGTTATTATTTCCGGAAATATAATATTGAAAGTTCTATTATTTGTAAGTTTAGAATGTGTACTTGGAAATCTGCAAGTGGCGATTTTATAGTTTTGTTAGGAAATTTTTCAAGAATCAATTTTTACTCCGATTGTAGCGATATTGTGAAAACTGATAACTGTATGTATTGCATACACTGTGCGCAAAAATAATATTGAACCATCAAGTATTTTGGAAGTTGGAATCTTTTCCCAAGCGGCTGCAAATTGCGCTTTTATGGCTCAAGGTTGGAAGCTGCAAAAAAAATCAGCTTTTACCCCAATTTAAGCAAAAATGTATCCAGTTGTAGGCTGCTATTTCCTTTAAATCTAGTGCAAATATCATATAGAAGCCTTCCTTAATTTAGAAGTGTAGAATTTTTTCCAAACATATACTAGTTGGGCTTTCAACGGTTGGAATCTGCTCCCAACTGATCAGTAATTTGCGTTATTCGCTCTGATTTTAAATGAAATAGTAGTTTCGGATCGTAGATATTTGGGTTACACTGTGCTCAAATACAATCGCTCAGTAAAATGGGAGTAATCGCGAGGAAACATTTTTACCGGCCAAATGATCACTTAGCAGAAATTGATCAATTAATATTTATGGACACCCTGTATATATTGGAGGATATGTGCTGTGAGTCTGGGACAGGAATTCATTGGCAGACTCGCACTTTTCCTCAAAATAAAAAATATATTCTATAAACCATTGGCTAAAATCGCAGTATTTGGACCAATAAACATTACCCGGGACTTACCCGGGCATCTATAGGCAAAGTGGGAATGTCGCCTTGAACATTAATCTCCAGCTTCAGATGGTCGAATACATCCAGACCCAGGAACTTCTGATTCACTTGCACCACTTGGCTGGTGTTTAGAAACGTGACGGTGCTCGTATGGTTGAAAAGGCCTCCAGTCCTCTGGAATCTGTAAAACCACCAAAAGGTTCTTGGTCTCATTTTCATCCAATTGTTACCCGTTGATGGCGCCTCGGACGGGATGCGCAAACAGATATCCAATCACACTTCCCAGCACCTGGAGGGTCTGGATATCGGCGCCGATGGATTCTGGAATCTTGGAAATGGCTGTGTAGGCTCTGCCGTCCACTGTCACCACGTAGGACTGCAAGTCCAGGTTTTCCAGCCGTTCCCCGTTGAGTTTTCCATTGACTTTGCCATTTACTCTAAGTGGGGCTCCTGGGGAAGTTTTCCAAATACACAGCTAGGGTGGATACGGCAAAATCTGATTTTTCCTACCTTCTTTGACACAAAACTTGCCATTCCCTACAAAGGACGGATTACAGGCGCAGCAAAAGCCCTCCTTATAGTCGATGCAAGTGCCCTGGCTGTGGCAGGCCGTAGGCACTTCAGCGCACGTCGCCGGGTATCCTTGGTTGGACTCTGGAAATTAAACCCGGTGATTCCAAGCGGGTTTGAGGACTAAAATAACTCACTTTGTTCCTGCTGGTCGGGTTCTACGATCTCTTTTCCGCTGATTTTGTAGAGGAATTGCCCGGTTAGTCCGATGTTGGACCATCTGGAACATGCAATGCTTAAGTTGCGCAACGAATCAATAATTTTTTACATCATAACCGTTACTTAGTCCGTGAACTAAATGCTAATACATTAAGTTAAGATAAATAACTTACTTTTCCAGATTGCTCACTTGTTCAGTGGCGCTTCCAGGCAAAGTGTGCTTTTTGCCATCGGGCGACAAAAAGCCGACTTGGGCTCGTGCATCTGGCAATCCCGACTCATCCCCAGTGCCCTGAAATCCCGAATTTGGCCAAAATCCCCGTTAAACTCCCCAAGTCTCACCTGGATCCACTGCAGTCCATCCTGCGGATACAAGAACTCCGCATAGCTGCTGCTTCCGTCGGAAATCAACACCACTTGGTAAGTGTTCAGTTTATCGGATTGTTGGTTGAAATACCCCACACCTAAGTGGATGCGGCATTAATAAACGGCATTCATTTGTGGTTGAGTTGGAAGCACTTACGGTTCCAAGTGGCTATGAAGAGGCTGCGAGCCTCAAAGTCCACATCGTCCAGGAAATTTTCGTGGACATTTTCCGTGGCGCGGTTTAGTAGATGGGGGTTTTGGGTCTCGTAGTAGGAGACCGTTCCTGCTGCCGATGTGTCCACATTGGAGTAGAATGGGGCTATTATGGGGTAGTCAAGCGGAAATTCCATGTTGATGAAATGGGGAATTTCCGTTTGGAAGGAGAGGAATCCGTTGGAGTTCACCTTTTAACAAATTGCACAGAAATGGTTCGAGCTTTCTAAAAATATAGCAGGAGCTTTTGGAGAATGGGTGTTGTGAGGAGGTAGAAGTGGTAAATTGTTCTTCTATTTAATGAAGGTTATTTGCCATTTTTGTCTACTCCTTATTTTCGATATCGAGAAAAATGTACACGTAAAAGTTTATCTTTTTTTAAGTATAATTTAGTAAAGCATGTTAGATTGTTTAAAGAACAAAACTGTTGCAGTTGCATTTGAAAATTGAAGGTAGAAGTGGACAATTTGGAAAATGCCACACTAATAGAGCAAAGTGTTCTCGGTTTAAGCTCATCTGAAGCTTGTCTCTAAAGACCCCTTTCATATATGCAAATATGGGTTCCAGTACTTAATAGAGAAGGCATCAGCTTACTTGTGGTGTGAACTTCGTTCGGAGTAAGCCATTAATTATTTCACAATGGATTTTTAAACTTTGTGAATATTTTGGGCGGTTGTGTATTTGTACATCAAGCTCATCTGAAGCTTGGCTCTGAAGAACCGCTTCAGACATGCAAATATGGGTTCCAGTACTCGATACAGAAAGTATCAGTTTACTTATGGTGTGAATTTGGTTCCGATTGAGCTATTGGTTCCCTCACAATTAGTTTTTAAACTTTGGAATTTTTTTGGTCGGTTTTGTACTTTTACATGAAGCTCGTCTAAAGCATGTTTCTAATGAAGCGCTTCAAATATGGAAATATCGGTTGCAGTACTCAATAGAGAAGACATCAGCTTACTCGTCGAGTGAACTTAGTGCTGAGTGAGGCATACATTCTTTCACAATTAATTTTTAAACTTTGTAAATATTTTGGGCGGTTTTGTATTTTTACATCAAGCTCATCTGAAGCTTGTCTCTAAAGAACCGCTTCAGATATGGAAATATGGGTCCCAGTACTTGATCCAGAAAGCATCAGTTTACTCATGGTGTGAATTTGATTTCAATTAAGCTTTTGATTCCCCACAACACATTTTTAAACTTTGGAAATTTTTTTGGCGGTTTTGTACTTTTACATCAAGCTGGTCTAAAGCTTTTCCCTAATGAAGCGCTTCAGATATGTAAATATAGGTCCCAGTACTCGACACAGAAAACATCAGTTTACTAATTTTGTGTAGTTGATTCCGATTGAGCTTTTGGTTCCTTCATAATGAACTTTTAAACTTTGGCAATTTTTTGGGCGGTTTTGTACTTTGACAGCAAGCTCGTCTAAAGCTTGTTTCCAATAAAGCGCTTTAGATATGGAAATATCGGTTGCAGTACTCAATAGAGAAGACATCAGCTTACTCGTGGTGTGAACTTCGTTCCGAGTAAGCCATTAATTCGTTCACAATTAATTTATAAACTTTGTGAATATTTTGGGCGGTTGTGTATTTTTACATCATGCTCATCTGAAGCTTGTCCTTGAAGAACCGCTTCAGATATGCAAATATGGGTTCCAGTACTGGATACAGAAAGCACCAGTTTACTCATGGTGTGAATTTTTTTCCGATTGAGCTGTTGGTTTCTTCTCAATGAATGTTTAAACTTTGGGAATTTTTAGAGCTGGTTTGTACTTTTACAGCAAGCTCGTCTTAAGCTTTTTTCTAATAAAGCGCTTCAAATGTGGAAATATGTGTTTCAGTTCTTAATAGAGAAGACATCAGCTTACTCGTGGTGTAAATTTGGTTTAGATTAAGCTATTGGCTCCTGCACAATTAATTCTTAATTTAATAATCGGTCAATCTAAGGGGCGATTTTTATACTTTGAGGGCGGTAGTTGTCTTTTTTGGTTTAGTGTTGAAAAAGTGAATATAATTTGAATGAAAAAATGTATAAATCTTCCAGCAACTTGAGGGTTTTTAAATTTTAGCATTGGAACTTTTACAAGTAAAATTAGTGCTTTTTCGAATTGTTACTAACGAAAGAAAATTAAGATGCTTTTGAAACCTTGGAAAGCTGATTATATCATTTATCTAGCCCACCAAAGCGGTGTCAAAGATCATTATAACAGTTTCTAAAATGAGCTCGGGTTATTAACCCTGCAGATAAAAGTCTACATTCTTTGGAAACCCAATTGAAGAAATGTCTAAAAGTACTTACATAGATACTCTTATATGGTAGTCCATAAAACTTCACGGCAACTTGCAGGGGAATTTCATCGCTAGAAACATCATTTTCTCGCGGCAATTGCTGCACTTCCGGAACCTCGAAGTCGTACAGAAGTCCTGCAGGAATTGCGGCCACACTGGCCCAAAACGTGCACAACAACCCGCACAGTTTTAGGCGCATTTTCGGGTTCGCAAACTAGCCGAAATTCGACTCGATCCAAAGGCCTTTAACGGGCGCCAGTTGTATGGAAATTAACCGATTTTTTCCTTTTCAGATTCCCTTATCGGGCTGGAATATGTGACGGGTTCAGAGGGCAGCTTACTTAAATAAAGAACTGATTGTTTCAAGTTTATCATCGAGTTTCATTAACGAGATTTTCTAGCAAAAGTGCGTTAAGCCGATGTTTGCCTATTCACTTATTGAGGTCGGTGTTAATAGAGTTTCGGATTTTTGGATAAACTCTACTGTTTATGTACATTCATTTTTATATCTGAATGATTCACGATTCTAAACGTTCAATATTGCCGTAATTTCCTGTTGTTGTTACGTGACTCTGAATTGGGCGTAAAGATTGGTTTAGAGGAATTTTTGACGCAAAATTAAAAGTAGATAGACACTCGGTATTAACGCCATTTAATTGAGAAATTATTCCTCTTCAAGCGTGGAAATGTGCATATTTTGCGGCGTTCTTCATACAAGTACAGCAAGTCGTATGAAGGCAGCGAAGTGAAACTAGAATTTTGAAATAGAGAAAACCTTGCAGGTTGGACGATTTCCAATTTTCTGAATTCTTGTTTATGAACTACCTAAAAAACACAACTTTTCTAAGTAAATATTCAATTGCTATTGTTACATAATCAACACCATTGTACAATTCAAAAAATATATTCATAGGCTAAAATACTAGTCGAATTATTCTACAGATAAGTAATAGTATTTTGTTCACCTAAATTGCTAATTACAAGTTAAAACCCCATAAGCGTAGTCAGTGAGTTACTGGATATCGACTTATTAGGAGCTGATGCCTGGCGAACGCTCATTTCCCAAGTATCCAGCAAATGCGACACCGAATAGTTCTTGGGCAGTTTAGTAATTCTGGCCTGGAAATCAAGATTGAAAACTATTTTAGTGTAAAACTTTTTAACTTACCAATAAGGCCGTTTGCACATCAGAGAGGAAAGTGGTGGCATTGTACTCATGCGAAGCTATGTGGCAGGTGGGCGACTTTTTTGGATAATTCTCGGGAATGGTGAGCGAAATCGGAGGAACGCATGGCAGTTGCCTGAAAGGCAATTTTTCATTAGAAATCAATCAATTCAAACAAAACAAAACTGCCACTCACTTGCAATCCAGCCAACAAATGAGCTGGATACTCTTGGCACCGGGCTGCTGGTTCGGATCCAAACTAACTTTAAACCGCTGATCGAGCCGCGCAATTTCTCCCTGGAGCACATCGGGAATATCGCTGGTGGGTTCCTCAAGTTTGGCCCTTTTCAGAGGCGGAACCAATCTGTTAAATTGGAAATAATGAGGAAATTCATTAATCCAACTTTTTTCTTAAATTTACTTGAATTCGGGGCCAAACAAGGCATCCAAAGTGGGTCCGAAAGTGCGGTGAAGAGTGTGGTTGATGACGGGGCTTTGAAGATTTTGAGCCACCACATCTAGTAGCGAGTGAAATGCTGGCAAATCCTAAATCACCGAAAAATTTTGCACTGTACCCTAAAATAACGGGGAAAGGAGTGTCTACCTTAAATTGAGCGTCACGGCTCTTAAAGTCAATTTTCTCCAAAACTATTTCGCATTTGATCAGCGTTTCCAAGGGCATACGTTGATGCGGATTGGTCAAAATCTCGAGCAGCTTTTTCATTTTGCTCATCATCTTTTCGCCTCCTACAGCAAAAAACAATTACCAACACTTGAAGATCGCGGTTTAATCAGCCTGACCATCATTGGAATCCGCTCTGTCGTTCGTTCTTGCGATCACTCTCCTCAAAGGGTCTATATAGATGCTGAGCTGTCGTATCTGCAAGAGAAGCAACATGAAATATACAAGTGTCTGGGAAAAAATGGACGGCTGCATGAGTTTCATATTGTTTCTTGAGCCCACCTTATCTCGATACGCCTGTTCATCGACCGCCATGGGGCTCTGGCTTGGTTGTCCTGGTGTGTTGATTGACCCAACAGGACTGGGAGCCAAACACTGAGCCCTAGGGGGACCGCCCATTATCCCCATTCCAAGAGAACACACTGAACTAGACGCTAAAGCGGGCGAAGCGCTTGAAGGCTGCGATAAATCTAGAAGTTTTTTTAAATTTATTTAAAAACGCTGATATGAAAATGTAAATTGCTTACTTCCGCCCGCGGGTGATTGAGCAGAAGGTTGCAGCGGGGATTGGGCGAAAATCTGACCAGGCCCAGATTGTCTAACGTAGCCGCCTCCGCCCATCATATTCGGGTTGAGGAGCATGCTGTTTTGAGAATTGGGCGGTTTTTGCTGCTGCATTTGCTGTTGCATGGAACCTGTAAAAATCGCCGAACTCTACCCCCTAATTAAAGCACCAAAGTCGCAAACTTGCCCATAGCGGATCCGCTCATGGGTCCCTGCATTCCTCCGGGCCCCATTTGCATCCCACCGGAACCCATTTGGCCGGGAACCACTACAGCGCCCTGCATCTGCAAAGCAAAGTTGCTCGAATCGATTCTAGTTCAGTTCTCATTCCAAACGTCGATTTTAATTCTTATCGATAAAATATCTTACCTGCATTCCTCCGCCCATTTGTCCACCCATTTGGCCGCCCATTGGATTCGGGATTTGCATCGGCATTTGCCCGGGCATTTGGGCGTTGGGGGGCATATTCATGTTCTGAACTCGGGGAACCTGAACGAGACAGGTTTTTTTGAACACTGTGGGATTTTTGGTTTAAAAAATGTTACCTGCAGTCCCATGTTGCCTGGCATGCCCCCACCCATCATGATCTGGGGTTGGTTGATCGGTTGCAGCAAGTTGGCGTTGCCCTGGCCAGGTCCCCGCATTTGATTGGCCTGCGGCGGCCCTCCCATTCCCACCATCGAATTCCTGCTTCCTTAAAACAATTCCCAATCAACATTAAAAACAAATTGAGCAACGCCAAAGGCAATAAAAAAATGATGAATAATTTGCCCGATATTTTAGTAGGGAAACATATATTAATACAGCGTGATTCTTTGAAGGTGGGACAAGCAGACTGCAATGAGGATCGTTTCTAACTTACTGCACTCAATTAATCAGAATCAGTGTTTAAACAAGTAAAAAACGAGCTTATAAACGCGACTATTTTGCCCGTTTCTGTTCAGAATCACCTTGTATTATACCTTGACTGGCCAAATTTTGCAAGGCATTGATTGGATCGGGCATTCCGGGCGCCTGCTGTTGCTGACCGCCAGGAACTCCGCTCAATTGTCCTGGTTTTTTATCTGTAAAAATGTGGTTTAATCAAATGGATTAGTAATTGACATTTATTGATTCAATTCCAGTTGCAACAACAGGGGAAGTTAAAATATTGCTAAACTTATGTGTAAAAAATGCAGAATAAGGAGATGAATGGCAATTCTTACTCATTTCGCGAACATGTAGAATCAATCTGGCCACAAAGCTCAAGTACTCTTCCCGATTTTTGGCCTTCTGGAAAACATGATTTTCCATTTCTAAACTGTTTTTCGACGTATTCATTCCGGATTGTCGGATTGCTTCATCACTGAAACGAAAACCACACATAAACTTCTAGAACAAGTCAAAAATGTCCTGGCTCAGGTCTGCTGCGTTCCAAAATACCCGATTATTCCTTAACTTCAGCCTTTAACACCTTGAACATAACAAATTGCTGGCCAAACCCAATCATCTACCACAGCAGTTCGCTTACGACCCCCCCCC